ACACACGGGCATCTGTTCTCGGTCCAAGGCACGCAGTTGAAACACGGGCCTCATCTTGTCCTGGCCCGCTTTCTCAAACTTCTCGGGGCCTCAGATCAAGGTGGCTGCAGGTAGCGGATGAAAGGCTAACACTCAAAAAGGATACCAAACCCATGCTATGATTGAGATCCTTTCAGAGGCGACGCTGCTGCACATAATTTTGTCAAGCAGTCTCCAATTCCGGAGCAGGCAGAAAATCCTGGAGCCCGAAACCTGACACTGTAAACCCAACGCAGAGCCTTCACAGAAACCCGTCCTTCTCAAGCATATTTCCAATTGCCCAGCAAAGTTAAGCTGCAATGATGACTGTTTAACATAATGGCATATTGCTGAACGAAACAAAAGAATGCCAGTGTGTAAGACATCCTCCCGAAACCCTAAACCCCCCCCTGCCATCACGCATGGATAGGTGCTCATTCGCTTCCGATCGAAGGCGAGAAAGGAACGCAGCTCCGGACCCTCCTGTCAAGCAGGTATACACTTGTGGCTGCCACTTAGTTGGTGAGCTAAATAATGTGCTTCCGGTGGTCGCACACCGAAAGCTTGGAGTCATCTACCCTCTTTTTGTCGGGACCGCAATTTCCGCATGCTGCCTGAAGCACCCGGCTCTGTAATACGTCCCGATATCTTCCTCAATCCAAATTGCAACCTCAGAACCGACGAAGACGGGTGGCAAAGCAGCAAGCAAAGGCTAACCCCACACCTCACATCCTATACCCCCCCTACGCTTTCACCCCATTTCTCGACCCGCCTAAGATTTCAACGCTTAAATCCTGCAAAACACAAAACACCTCCCAACAACCAATACAAGTATCCCGAAACAAAGCTACCCCACAACAAATACAATTATCCAGAACACAACCCAAAACCCAAAGCACCTAAACAATACTTAACCCAACAGACGACGAAGACTTCAACAGGCAGACGCCAAAAAAATATGGAACATCAGCATTGGAATGTTGGAGAAAGCCAATAACACAAGTCAGCGAAGTAGCACCTTTACTTCGTTGAAGGAGGCGTGTTATTATCAAAGCATTTAGAGTGGAAAAGTTTACATTATAAGCGAGTGTCAGACAGAACTTAACGAAGTGGATGAAGACGAATTTGAAACAATGGAGACAGAAGGAGAAAAAAATTATGTGCAAAGTGTGTCAGAAAAGAAGACTTTAATAAATGGCTTTATGCATATCAAAGAGTTGTTATTACACTATCATAATTTAAAGATGTATGAGGCATACAAGACATCATCCGACAATAACACTAAGGTGTATACTGTTAAAACAGATTGCCTGACGATGCACGAAGACGATGTGGATAAGGTGTATGGATACAGTTTTTGTCGTGTGTGGAAAGAGGGACTGCTTGAATTTGGAACTGACATCGGCACTTGGAGACTGGAAGAAAAGAAAACAATTACACTGCCTACGCAGTTATACACATACAAGTTTAACGAAGTGCCGGAAATCCCGAAAGTTAGTAATGTACAGGTTGAAGTTGAGGACGAACGGGACACTCGCCCTATATGCCAACAAACCGTAAAACGAAATCCTTGTTTAATCCGTGCTCGTTTCGCGGGTAGTGAAAAGAGTTATACAGGGGAATACTTCCAAAACATGGGTTATAAAGTTTTGTTTGTAGTTCCGACCAACAGACTCTTGCAAGAGAAGGAAGTAGAAGCGACAACTTATAACAAGTATTTTCAGCATAGCGGTTCATGAAGATGTCGGGGAAAAAGTTGCCACAGATTGATTACAATAATTATGACATAATAGTATTTGATGAAACCTATATGTCAAATCTGTATGTTTTGGATAGGGTCAAGCAGTTCATCAAGAATAACACCGGTGAAATTGTAGTTGCGACAGGTGATGTTAAACAAATACAAAGGGTGGAAGTTATGACCAACTGCCAGAACCCAGCAACATACATTGACAACTGCTTGGATATAATATGTAAATACAATATCTTCTTGACCGTCTGTAAGAGAATAGTCGCGAAGGATAGTGAGGAAGGAGAAGGAAACAAGGAAATCATTGATATTATGTATAAAGACTTCTGGGAAAAGAATTTGCCTTTTGAGGAGATTATACCAAAATATTTCGAAACGACTGACGACATAATGGCATCGGAGCATAACATTGCCTATAAAAACATGAGATGCCGTAATGTGGCAAATGAAATCAGGGACAGGTTAAAGAAACAAGATAAATATGAGGTAGGAGAAATATTGATTGCCAGAAAATGGGTTGAACAACCAAGGGTACATGTAAATCTACGGTATAGAATTACGAATATACTGCAGGATGAATTAGGGGCACGAGTAACATTACAGAACATAGCGAATGCTGATGACGAGTTTATGTTATTTGAACCTATTGTGGATGCCAACTTCATTTACTCGTATTGTGCCACCTGTCATTCAAGTCAGGGAGCAAGTGTAAAGGGGAGTAGAACTATACAAGAACACGACTTACCAATAGCAAGTATAGAACGGCTGTGGTGTGCAATAACAAGGTGTGTTGATTTTAAGCAAGTGAAGTTTTACAAGAACGGCGACTATGAGAAGCAAATGACGAAAAACATGATTATGAGATTTTTTAAAAACAAAGTGGAGAATTACAAACTACGAGACCGGCGTTCCCACAGAAAAACAAGTGAATAAGAATACATAACCCCTGAATGGTGTTTAAAAGTGTTTGAAAGCAGGTGCGAGACATGTAATACGTCGTATAGTTTTTGAAACCAAGCAGGGCAAATTGTGTAGCAACTTTACGGCCCAGAGATTAAATAATCTGCGACCGCACGAAGTTAATCATTGCGTCGGTTTCTGCATTTATTGTAATATTTCTGCGCATTGAAATGGTTAAAAGAAATGATAGTTTAGGATATATAGAGATATGAATAAATATCAGAATGGCAAGATTTATAAGATAGTTGATGTAGGGCATAACAAATGTTATATAGGTTCTACTTGTGAGGAGCTGAGTCAAAGGATGGCGAGGCACAGGTACATGTTTATGCTACATTCCACAAAAGGTAAAGAGAGTTTTAAAGTTGCAACCGTTTGTTTGAAGAGTTTGGTGTAGAGAACTGTAAAATGGAGCTGATTGAAGAATACCCATGTAGTAATCAAAAGGAATTACATAGGAGAGAAGGGCAATATATTCAAAGCAACAAGTGTGTGAATAAAGTTATAGCAGGAAGAACAGACAAACAATACCATGACCAAAGTAAGGTACGTGAAAGAGTAAGAAAGGAGCAATAAAATGCCGAACATCCAGAAATAGCAAAGGCATACAGAGAAGCAAATAAGGACAGAATCGCTCAATACCAAAAGCAATACACGGAGGACAACAAAGAACAACTAAACGCAAAACGAAACGAAAAACACAACTGCGACTGAGGTGGCAGATACTCTCACGATCATAAGGCAAAACATTTTAAATCACAAAAACACCAGAAATATTTCAAACAATTAGAAGAAGAACCAAAATATCTTGTTTGTTATAATGACTTCTAAGCAAGATATTATCAGCAATGTTTATTATGACCGATCAGGGTTTGGGAGTAAGGCGACAACACTTAAAACAGTGGGGAAAAAGGTAAAACTATCACAATGAAGGATGTTGAGGAGTTTTTTAGAAAGAGCGTTGAAGAAAAGCGCGAACCGCGTGGCGAGAATAGTTTCATAGCACCTCACGCCCATTTTGAATTCAGGTGGATTTGGTGTGTATTAGCAAGAATGATCTAGAAAACCAAACATTTAGAATAGGATTCGTTTCAATTGGTAGTTTGAATAAATATGCTACTGTTATACCCATTAAGAGTAAAGAACCGCCTGATATGTTGGCAGGGAAAATGGAAGGACTACAAAAATGGGCGATAAACCAAAAATGGTTTGCAGTGATGAAGACGGGAGTTTGTATAGTAAACCCGTTATCGAATATTTAGAAGATGAGAAAATTGAAATACATAGAACACTAGGGCATCCAGCATTTGCGGAGCGCTTTATAAGAATATATAAAGACATGCTGTTTAAGCGGGTTGAAGCAGATGAAAAAAGGGTAAGCAAAATATGCAGTGGATAGATTATCATTCGGAGATACTATTAACATAAAATAATAAAATGGTTTCATCCGCTACTAAAATGACCCCATTAGTAGCAAGGAAGAAGAAACATGAATTTGAAGTTAAATTGAATATGTTTTTACAGGCAAAGCGCAATAAAACATATCCCGAAATAGAGGTGGGCGATAGTGTTAAAATAATGTGTAAAAAGGGCATTATTGACAAATAACACAACAGTCATTGGGTGAGAACCCCCAAAAAAGTAAAACGAATAGATAAAAAATTAGGACAAACATATGATTATTTAGATCATGATGATAAACGCGGTTTTTTGCGCCACGAATTATTAAAGGTGTAAAAAACGATAGATATAATCTATTTGTATATTATATTGGGATTTATTGTATGTTTGAGCCGAAATTTCTTTCTTCTCTCATCTCATCTGTCTCCTAAAAAACCCGAAACAAAAAAACCTAACCCGAAACTAGAAAGCCTGACGCGCACACTTCTGATGCCATCGCAATGCTCTGACTGTGTAATCAGTCGGATTTCTTGTCCGTTCCCAGTTCTGGGATGGTTTGTTCGCACAAACCCTCAAACCTAAACTGAACCCTAAAACTAAAAACCTTAGCCCGAAACTTAAAAAACCCAAAATACAATCCGTAAACCGAAAATGGAAACCAAAACTAAGACCCTTGACCCGAAACGGAAAACCCTCATCGCATGTCGCACTGCTGGTCTCAAATCTGCTGGCACATCACGCTAGCGCCTTTTTTCTATTGGGTGCTCACCTGTCGTGTGGGCATGGTAGTGAAGGACTCTAACCCAAGGCATTGGTGACACAACACTTCCGAACCTTCTTGCTCGGACCGACTGCCATGCGGTCACGGGGTCTACCCTACACAAGTGGCGCAATGCAGTGGTGCAAGTGCCAGAGACCTGCCGCTCTTCATCAACTCAATCAACTTTTCAAATTTCTTCTTGACGAGCCGAATGATCTCACGCATCTCGCCCCGAATGCCGCGAATCTCGTCCCGGAGCTCCTGCTGGCCGCGTATCGCCTTCTGCAACTCTTCCTTCAAGCCCGCAATGGACTTCTGCCAATCGTAGCAGGCTTGTACCACCAATGTCGTGAATAAGGATGCGCCAGCAACGGTTGCTATATCCGACACTACTTGCATGTTTGAGTCGTCCAGGTACACGTTGCGCACAATTCGAGACGTCGCTGCGCCGGGGTACCAACCTCATCAACATCAGCTTCTTAGCCGAATAAAACAAAACAAGGCTGTATGACACAAAAACTCTCAATTGCCCCCGCGCCTCCAACGAAACATGGCAGAGACCATACACAAAACCAGAGTATGGCCCATGTCGCCACCAAGCGTATTCGCTTCATAGCTGAGATATGGCAGTGTACAGCAGCTTTCTGTTCCTTGTTAAGCCAAAATGTTGCCAAGCACACAAGGACCGTGGGATTTGGAGCGCTTTGTGTTTTGGATTGCGTTATGGAATATTGTATTGGGTTTTGGGAGGTGCTTTGTGTTTTGGTGTTTTGGAAGGTTGAAATCTTAGGCGGGTTGAGAAATGGGTTGAAAGTGTAGGGGGGAGTATAGGACGTGAGGTGTGGGGTTAGCCTATGCTTGGCAAAGCACTGCACAGACAACATCGAACAACATCGTGTTTCATCACCTTTGGAGGAGCCAACCCGGCATCTTTATCATCAACTCCCGATGGGTTCGGATGGGTATCGAAGGTGCGTGCCAGCCGCGTAGTGTAGTGTAGTCGCAACCCCCCCCACCCCAAAACCCTAAAGCCACGCATTCTGAGACTTTAATTTTGCCCTGAACTGCAACACCCTAGGAGCAAAACCCTAGGAGTCTTAGCCTCCCTTCTCAAAACAACTCTCAGCCCTGAAGCCGTGATCTAATTTCTGTTTAAATACATCAAAATAATCGTGTCCTTATAGAAATCATGAGCCTCAAGCGAAGCTTATGGTAAAAGCTGCTGAGCCTAAACCGAAAACGCAACCTGAACCACAAACCCTGAACTCTAAACCCTGAATTCAACAGAACACCTCCCTGAACTCTGCATCGTTCCCTCCTTTGGAGCGGCGGAGAAAACGGCGCTGGCTTCCGTGACCTCTACCGAAGCTCAACAGTGTGTACCCAAAGGCCACATAGTAGTTCCTTCTTGGGATTACCTCATAAGATTCTAAATATGAACCCGCAAAATAAAAGGAACCACTTTGGGGCCTTAGGGTACAGTAGTAGGCGCGGCATCGGGTTGCTTTCAAAGTTACACATCCCTTGATAAGGGAATCAAATTAGGAGGGTAGAGGGTACTATAAACGCGCACTATAAAGTCGTTGGGTTTAGGAATAATCACGGTAACATTACACTGTTTACTACAGGGGCTATTGAAGGGTTATCGGTTGAGGGTTGACGTTAACAGTTTAGACTTCCAGGTGCAGGGCGAGCTTTACCTGCAGCTTCGCCCTGTCTGTCGCAAGTAAATGAACACATACATAGACACAGAAGTAACTACGTATTCCACATAAACTAGAAACATACATGAACTTCGGGTCTTGGGGATTGTGAGGTTTTTGCTTTCGAGGTTGCAGGATGCATGCTTTATAGGGCTTGAGGGCTTCAAGGCTTGACGATACAGGTCAACGACTTATAGGATATGTGTAGAGACCAGATGACACAAGCATACATTCGTGCGTCAGCTTTATGTACGTCAGTCAAGAGAGCCGAGTGCCCCGAACAGGCTTCAGGGGATTTTCGGTTCCGGCTAACACTGGTGACTCACAATGTTTGTTTTCTCACTTTGGAGCAGTTTCGCTTCGAGGCCTGCAGCCAAAAGCGTGGCTTTTGCTCCGACAACGACACTGACACCATGCCAAGGAAGACGCCAACAGCAAACTCAACAACGACTCAACATCAAGATCGCATCCATACCTTCCCCTTGCAGAATGGACGCCTGAAGACTGAAGGCCGGGTGCTTGTGCAGCCTCAGGTAGTCTTTCAGATATCCATGTGGGAACATCCTCATGGCGAGCCTGATGCGAAACCCGTGGCATTTTCGCAGCTCTCCGGATGACTCTGCTGCAGACAGAGTGGTTAAGCTCTGCGTATCTCTGGCACCAGTCACGAGGAGTGGGAAGTTTAAGCGATAGCATCATGTGATGCTTGTCAGAGACAGACCGCTCTTTCTACAAGTCTATATAAATATTGTTGCTAGGTTCGCTTGCAAAATCCATACACCCACTCGACCTCAACCGCGATAACAACAATACCAACGCCCTTCCCAGCAGCTCGCTAGCACCAGAACCACACAACCGCCCACCACCACCACCACCACCACCACCACCACCACCACCACCACCACCACAATCACCACCAACAACAGCAGCAGCCAACGCTACAGCTTCGGCCATCATCACCATCACCCTGTCGATGACGGCGACGACGACTACTATACGACTACGACTGCTACTACTACTACTACTACTACTACTACTACTAATTACTACTACTACTACTACGACGACTACTAGTACTACTTCTTCCGGACGCAGCAAGGGGCGATCTCGCTTAGCGTTCATGAAATTAGGCAGGCTTCACGAACCTGGCGCATGGCGCACTCATCCTTATGATGAGTCCAGCTCTTAACTCAAAAGAAAGGCAACACCTCCATGGCCCGAAGGCCCCATCATGGAGGTGTTGATCCCGCTCCTGTGAAAACCTAAAAGTCTAGCAAGTGTGGGACGGTCAGAGTTACCTACTATGCTCGCTGCAACTGGTAACTGCCTACAGGAGGGGAGGACGAGGACCCAGTTCAGGGACTCGTGCAGAGCACATACAAGAAGGCGTAGGTGTTGGGATAGTGTGTAGGGAGGTCTCTATGGGTGAGGCGTTGGGCAGGCTTATGATCATCAGTGATAAGGCAGAGGTCGGTACCTTGGAACAGGATGCATCTATAGTGTCCTGTGGTAGGCATCGGGCCTTCATGCACTATCACTGCTGCTCTGCGGTATCTGGCGTACTGTTGGGCCAGAGTGAGCGGCCGTGCAGTCACCGTATATACTGGCACCAGGATTTCGTCATTTGGGATCACAGGCATACTGGATTTACCAAGACTGCTATGATGTACCCCAAAACGGTTGATCTGCAACAGCAAAACTGTGGGCTGCTGCACCAGCCCTTGCAAGCCACGCTGCATGTGCCATGCATCGACAAGTTGCTGGAGGTCGGCTATTGGGGCATTATGCAGAGGGATGGCTTCTAAGGGAGTGTCCAACCAAAGGGGCCAGGTACTACCTCTGTCGCAAACTCCTACAGTCGTATCATCCTGAACCTGTCGTGCTTCCCAATGGCCAGTGGCAGCCGTTGCTTGAAGCTGTGGTGCCAAAAATGTAAGATACTCGACTACATCATGCTGTCTTGTGGGCCGGGTCCAGCCAAGATTTATGTTCCTCCATGGCAGGGATTGCCAGAGGTGATGTACTTTCTTAACCTTACAGATCTGGCTCCACAGAGTGCGAATTGCCGGCCCAAGCAAGGGCTCAGCTCTATCCAGACCTGTGGGACGGCAGGCATGACACCAAAGAATGGCGATTAGGGCAGCATTGGAGTAACAATAATTGCTTGTGTTTCCCAGCACTAAGGATCTGACATGCTTTCGGTCATCTTCTGGAGGTTGGTGGCCAGTGCTGACCTGCCCATTTTGTCCGCCCTCAGCGACATAGCCATGGCCCGGCATGCTCCGGAGTGGCAGAGCCGTGTAAACATCTGCCATGCCTGATCTGCTTCTCTGGTCCTGAGACCAATCTCCAGGACCATTGGCAGAATCTCTCCCTTGAGATCCTGAGACAGGCGTCTCGTGGCATGGAAGCGGATCACGGTCATCGGGAGGATGATGAGGCCTTTGAGGTCCTTGAGGCATTCCATGACCTCCGCCAGTTCCATTGGCTCCCGGTCTGGCTTTATCTCCATCTTCTTTTCCTGGGCATTGTACTGGAGGTAGGGGACCTTGTTGTCCGCATTGAGAATCAGCATTTCCTTGGCGTTGGCAATGCTGTCCTCGGACTTGTCGATCATTCCCATGCGGCTGTGCCAAATCTCCAGGAACTGCAGTAGCAAGGCGACCCGTAGCGGCATGGTCAGGGTGTTCGGCATCTCCTCTTTGGCTTTCTTCCAGACATCGTTGGCCTTCATGAGGTCCGGAAGCGACGAGAGGAGGCCCTGGGTCTGGCAGAACATAACAAAGCCTGTCTCCGTCCTGGCTATGCTCTGGGCATCCTCGTGTCGCAGCACCAGTCTGGACATCATCAGGCATAGGTCCCGGACTTCCGATGGCTCGCGGGACTGGGGGCCCCAATGATCTCCCCAGTTGCCATGGTTTCCCCAGCCATTCCCGGATCGTCCGTGGCTGCCCTTCTCGTGCTCGCGGCGTGGCCATTTGTTCGGCCCCTTTCCCGAGCCGTTGCCTTTGGAGGACACGTCCTCCACCGTGCCGCGTTTCCCGTCCCTCTGCGCTGTGTCCATAGGCGTCGAGGGAGCCGGTGCTTGCATGGCTGCCGTACCCAGACTCTGCGGTCCCGCTCCGCTGGCAGCGGAGTTGTTCAGCATCGTCTTGAACATGTCCGCTTGGGCCTGGGCCTGGAGAAGCTCCGCCTGCGCTGCATCGGTCATCGTGGGAGGCGGTCGAAGACGCTGTTTGGGCCTGTCGTGCAGTCAAGAGTGCGATGATACCTGTGCGAGTTAGTGTGACGCAAGCGGAGGCATGTCTGTGACGGCTGGCATGTTGTGCCTTGAAGTCAACGTTGCACCAGGGGCACGGTGAGTGCACGGTGGCCCGTCTGTCACTGAGCCAACTAGGCAATGCATCCAAGATAGGCTTTAGGGCAGCATGTTGGGAAGCTATGTGCCTAGTCAGATACTGGGGTCGGGTAAGCCATTGGGCACAAAACATGCAAGTGTGCAGGTCAGATTTGCGAAGCAGCGCTGCAAGGGATTGCCAACCGGACTGAGACAAGAGCCGAGTTTGTTCTGGGTCAAGGCGTTTACTCAGTTCTGTCAGAGCATCCGTTTCAGGCTCGGATGCATGCTCCCTGTCGGGCAAGTCTGCAGGTGCCATAGCAGGCAAAACCGCGGTTGCAACCGCATCTGCATTGGTTGGGGCTTCCTCCGTGCTCTCGAACTGCGGTCTGTGCAGGACAGGACATCTGGATTGTGCAAAATGTTGGCAAAACGACGGCCAAGATGTAAATTGCCAAGAGCAGTGAGAGCACGTAGGAACCCCACCGGTTGCGTGCTTCATGTATTCTGCACGCATACTCTGCTGTGTGCGCTTGCGGGCTCCAAGGGTTTTGGCAAGGGTACTCGGTTTGTGTTTGTTTGCCACATGGAGTTTGAGTGGTTTGATGTTCGGGAAGTACTGGCCACAGGTCTTACAAGCTAACTGTTGTGTCGTTGCAGAAATTTCAACTAAGGAACCTCGCCTCATGACCTTGTAGCTTGGCTGGCTGATATCCACCGACGTGGGCTCCTGCTTCAAGCTATCTGCATGCGCAAGTAGCAGATTCCAGCGTGAGTGCACACGTGTGGGTTGGAGCGACTGCATGTGGCCTTGCTGGCACTTCTCAACCCGACTTCGTATGCGCTTCGCGAGGTCTTGCGATGGCGTGATGTAACCAAGTCTAGCAAGGAGATCAATCGAAGATTCTCTGGAAAGATGAACGGGGCTCTTCAGGATAACCCGGAGTTGCTTAGCCACATGCTGTAAAAGTTTCTCTGCCCCCCCCAGTGGCAGGCCTGTACAGTCGAGGCCATACATGAGGGCCGCGTAAGCGCAGCTGTGCCATACACGAAGCTTCTGCTGTTGTGTGAGGCTGCTGCTCTTCAGGGCTGGCAAAAGTCTGTTGAACGTGGTCCAGGACTGCCGAAACCTATGCTTGAGGCTAAGTTGTTCAGGGGCAGTGTAGCTAAGCTGGAGTCCGAGGTAAGTGTGTTGTTTCACAATGGGCAGCAGAACATGTTCAGCACCCACTGGGATACAAAGGAAGTGCCCTTTGCCAGGAACGCGTCTGACGTGACGCTTGAGGGCACCGGCTGCTTTTGTACCCTTAACACTGACTAGGATGACCGTTTTATCAACACTGATCTTCATACCAAATCTGGCAAGAGTGGTGAGGACGAACGAAATTTTGTCAATGGCACTGTCAAGATCAGAGACCTGGTTTATAAACCATTGGAAGAGCCAATCGTCCGCATAAGCAGTCACATCCTCTTTGCCAAGCTGACTCAGCAGCTCGCTAAGGACAAGGCCCGTAAAAAGACTCCATAATGTGGGTGATAACCCACATCCTTGCCTGATGCCATTTTCTGTCGTGACGGTGGTCTGGTGTTGACCGACCTTGAATTGCATCTGGGCATGGCGGTGGATTTGGAGTATCGCCCACCGGAGCTCGGCACTAATTTCAGCTGCTTGCAAGGCCTGATCCAGAAGCGCTCTGGGCATGAGGTCAAAAGCTTTCTGCAGATCTACTGATAAGGTTATGGCTCCTCTGCAAGGCGCGGTCTGATGACCTTGTTTGCGAAGGTGAGGATTGTTCTGCTGGGCACGCAATATGGCTCTGGCATGATGACAGTGAGTCATTGCACGATCCAGTGCATCCTGAGCACTCCTGGCTGGCAGGTATGCGAACTGTGGCGTGCCTTGCATGTAGCTGGTGACCGCCGGCTCTATACGGTCTTTCAGTATGCTTGCCAAAGCTTTGGCCACAGGATGCAATAGGGAAATGGGTCTTAATGAAGACGGGGCAGGAGGTTTGCCTGGTTTAAGCATCAGGAATATTTCAGCGATGTGCCATGACTCTGGCGGTGGGTCTGCCATGTGCCTTAGCCAATGATTAAGCTCGGGTAGAGTTTTATCTGCGAGGCATGCTGCAGCGGATTTCCACAGTATCGCAGGTGCCTGCGACGACGGAAGTGCTTTACTCGCCGGCAGGCTTGAAAAGGCATTCGCGAGCTCGTACCGTTCAATCTGTAAAGGTGCTACTGGCTGTGCAGCTATGCTGGAGTTTGTGTCAGCGGATTGTGGATGTGTGTGATAGAGATCGTGAAAGAATTTGTGGATGTGGGAAAGGGTGTCTGTTGTGCTGAGCGGGCAGCCGTTGGAGGTTTTAAGTTGTAGTCGGCGGTGTGGGGTTTTCGGTGCAATGGATCTGAGCAAGCGAAACACGGATGTCAGGCCTTGTGGCTGGACTGCCGCATCGGCCAAGAGTTTATTGATTCTATCCCGCTTGCGATGTCTACATTGCTTTCTCAGCGTAGTCTGAATCTGCTGCAGTTTAAACGACTCCTTCCATAACCTGAAAAGTTTAGAGAGCCCAAATCTACTACCCCTAAGACCCTGGGGCGGATGCGGCAGGGACTTTACCAGCGCACGTTGTTGCCATAACGAGGCAACCGTGTGCGAAGCGGGCTCCAGTGTTGCAGCATCACTGGAATGTTGTTCTGGCCTAATCGTTACTTCCCTCCAGGCAGCAGTTATGAGGGAGTGCGGGGTGAGATTAGGGGCACTGAGATGCAGTTGCGTCATTTGAACTTGAAAGGCTTCGAGGATCTTGGGATTGCGTCCGCACTGAGTTTGAACTTGCTTTTTGGTAATGCGGTTAGGGGTGGGAATGGTTCTGGGAGGTTTAGGGATACTTATGCTGCCCACCAAAGGCCAGTGACGCATGCCCGAAATCGGCACAAAAGGAGCGCAGGTGGGCGTTGTCTGACGCGCCTGCTGATCACAGTGCACTCTTCTGCAAAGAGCAAAGTCAATCTGACTGTGGCCTTTAGCTGTGGCAGGGTGGTAGGTACAGGATCTAAGGCCTCGCTTAGACCAAGTATTCAGGGCAACCAGGCCAAAGTTCTTAACTAGATCCTGCAGCATATGGGCATCCGGTGCATGATGGCAGGTATGTCTGTGCACTCCTTGTCCAACGAGATTAGTATCGGGTTGGAGGCTAGAGTTAAAATCACCCAGAATAAGGACCTGATTCCTACTCGGGAGCCCTGCCACCAGTCGATGCAGCTGGGCCCAAACAGTCGATCGACGGGAGAGCACGGCCTCTTTACTGTGTTCGGACACTGCAGTATTTCTGGCAATAGACCAAGCGTGCTGATATACCAACACAATGTCACAGCAAGGGTCAGATTCAAGTCTGATGTGTGCTAGGCGTCCCGGCAGAACATCATGCACTTTGATCGTATGTTCCGGAAACTTACGGGAGTTAACAAGAAGAAGAAGGCCGGCTTCAGGTTTATCGGAACCACTGTGTACTCCGAAGAAGCCCGAAGCCCTGTACTCCATGGGACCTCTCCAGTGGGTTTCTTGGATAGCAACTAGATCAATGTGCTGCTGTTCGGGCTGGGCGAGCCAAGTGCGAAGCTCCGCGTATCGATCTGTAGTGAGACTGCTTGCATTCCAGGAAACAAAATGCAATCTAGAGCCATCCTGAGTAGGGTTTGGGGTGGGTTTCGGTTTGGCAGTGGTGGGATTGTGTTGGACCCCAAGCTGTGAGGCATTAAACCAACGACCTCTATACATTGATCCACCGTGTTGTATGGCTCTGCGCTGCGCTCTCAGGAAAGTGCGCTTCTGTGCCGCCTTAGGCTGTGGCACTTTAAAAACACCGTGAAGGTTTGTCAGACCTTGGAGTCCAGCAGGTGCTTCAGTGAGACTGGCTCCAGAGGGATCCAGGTGGGGAGAGCCCTCAACCCTCGCGTCTGTGACCTGATGCATAGAACTGCATGGTTGGAAAAGAATAAGGATGCACATGATAGCGAGTGCGGTAACAGTGTTGCATCGGCCACCCCAGGACTTGGGACCTGGGCGACCCTTCCTACTGTTCTGGGTTCGGGCAGGGAAGTGGGTCTTAGGGTTAAAAAGCAGCGAGCATATGTGACAGCTTACTTTGCTAAGCGCTCCTAGTATATACACTATGTACACCAAACCTCGACGTAACGTGGGAAGCAGGAACAAGAAGAGCTTTCGACCTCGTCGCCTGGAGGAACGCCTGTGCGTAGAGCTTGTACGTAGTCTCCAGCGTCGCCAGAGTCGGCGTCTATCTTGTGTAGTGTTATCCATACCGAGGCTTCTGGGAGGAAGAGGAGGATTTCTCCGTCGGCTCTTCAGCGGTACCCATCCTGTACTCGAAAAGCCACCTTTGCATCTTTCGCCTTTGGTCGTCATCCAGCAGGGGCCAGAGCAGTCGAAGCGCTGGTATGCTGAAGGTGTTAAAGGCCAGATCGGTTGCTCGAGAAGCCACCATGGCGGCAGCCTCTCGACCAACCTTGTCACAAAGGCTGAAGAATACAGCTTGTTGGGCAGCTTGTTGTAGCCTGTGCAGAGGCGGTAGGTGCAGAATTTCCAGAGATAACAGCCAGGCGAGGTCGTTGTCTGGCATTGGCTCTGCCAGCATGCATCTGAGTGCGGCCACCATATGCTCCAACGATTCGCGTCTGTTACTGTCAAGGAAACCAACCACCGAGTCTTGGAGGTCTCTCGAGTTGTCATTCGAGTGTCGTCTCCAGAAGTCTCGCAGCTGAGCTCCCGCCTGCCTTGCAGTAAGTCTGGATCGCAGCTCCTGCTCCAGATGGGCTCGGCAAAGCTGTCGGGCGAGTAAGTCCACGAATGACTGCCTCTTAAGCTCAAAATCCGCTTCTCGCCTGATGTCCACGTCTGATTGAGGGGCTTCCGGTAGATGCGCTCCAAATGGTTCATCATTCCCAAGGGAGGCATCAGAATCAGCCATATCCTCATCGCTGATAGCATTGCCATCCAGATCACTCCAGTCTTCCGAGGAGGAGGCGTAGGAGTCACTGGTCGTAGACCCAGGAGGCGACCGTGGCATTCACCCCGATCCGAAGACCCCAAAAGCGGGTGAATGCCACGTTCAGCAGCAGAAAAACAGGCCAGCGATGCCCATTAACCCTCAGGCCCAGTCTTCAGAAACCAGTTCGGGCCGAGACGCTTACTAGTACTACTACTGCTACTGCTACTGCTACTACTACTACTACTACTACTACTTCTACTACTACTGCTACTGCTACTGCTACTGCTGCTACTACTACTACTACTACGACTACAACTACAACTACTACTACTACTACTAGTACTACCTACTACCTACTACCTACTACCTACTACCTACTACCTACCTAATACTACCTACTACCTAATACTACCTACTACCTAATACTACCTACTACCTACTACCTACTACCGACTACAACTACTACTACGACTACTGCTACTACTACTACTACTACCACTACTACTACTACGACGACCACGACTACGACTACGACTACGACTACGACTACGACTACGACTACTACTACTACTACTGCTACTGCTACTACTACTACTACTACTACTACGACCACGACCACGACTACTACTACTACGACCACGACGACGAACAGCAACCAGCAGCAGCAACCTTAGTAGTCGCAGAGAACAGAACGGAGCCCTTCTCTTCATCCCAGCCGCAGGTCGCCAATGGGTGCTGAGATGACCACAATTGGAGGAACCAATGATGACCAAAGCCTGGTGTTTGCGGCTTTTCGAGCTTGGACATCCTTGGTGGTCTGCCCAACGTAGGCTGCCCTCTAGGCCTTTCAAGTCTTGTCGGTCCGAAGTCGAAGCCAGGCTGATGTCTCTCCAGCGGTCGGAGCCTTCTTACCCAAACTCAGAAGCCCGCTCCATCCAAACCCCAACTCCGAATTGAATCTGCAAACATGTAGGGGCAAAACAAATCTCAAACACTGAGTCGACATTTCAAGCAATTGAGCACCTAGGGCCCTTGTGGCCTGTACGGTGCACCTCTAACGCCCATGGACTGCACGTGGAGCATCCTTGGCTTGGGTGAGCTGCTGCTTCAAAAATGCAGCGACTTACGGTTCATACTAGGGCACATATCGCATGTAGCCTCCTTGCTGGGCCCCATGAACACTTTACAAATCAGGGCTTCTCATCTACCCTTATACCCTTGTTGCGTAAATCCCACACCCCAAACTATAAATCCTACACCCGAAGATTCACAAGCTCTGTTGTTTTAGCCACAGAAGATAAGAACCGGAAACTCCGGACCCCGTTAATTGCACACCCTGTACCTTAACCAACACAAACCTTACTACAACCCGCTTTCTCTGTTAATTATTACCCTTAAACCTCACTATAAACAACGGACGTTCTATATAGGAGTTTCGGGGGTCGGGATGAGCTCATAAAGCCTAACCCCCAAACCCAAACCCCCTGAAAATTCCCTTTAAACCCCAAATCACCCCAAATCTCTGTTAAATCCTACTCCTCCTGATATAGACATAAACCCCAAATCACCCCAAATCTCGTTTAAATCATACTCCCCCGTAGACACCCTCAACCTCCGCTCCGGGGCACCCCCATCGAAGAAGGGCTCTCCGACGGCCATTTGCGCCCGGAGGGTAGAGCAAGTCGAAATAGAATTTTCCTGGGCTTGAAATGGTTTCGGGGTTGAGGGCTTAGCTTGAAGGAGTTTGATTAGGGCTTGGGTGAAGAACAAGTTTCCGGTGGTTTGGGTTTTTCTTCGGGTTTAGAGTTTTGGGTAGAATCTTCCTGAGCTTCAAGCGAGATCCATGAGGTTTGGCAAAGCCCAGCGTTTCGGGTTTCGGTTTTGCGGTTGAGTTACAAGGGTTTTAGGCCCGAATAAGTACCGCGACGTCACAAGTACAAACAAAAGAACCTACCTTCCCGAGAGGCTGCTGTACAGGTCCGGGGTAGGCGCATACAATCGCAGTGCTTGAGTCACAGCAAACAACAAGACTGTTCCTGACAAACCTACTCAAGGTTTCCGGAGATTGACGTACCTCTACGAAAGCTGGGTGTGCAGGCTCGACGGCAGCAATAGTCTCGGAAAAAGCTGTGCACCCACATTCTGACGTGCCAAGACTGACCAATCTGGACCTGTCAGTGATCTCAATAGATTCATTGATTCGGCGCTATATGCGGTGCTAAAAGATACTGAAACAGTGACGAGGCGCGCAAGTGAACGGCGAACTGCATGAACCTGCAGCGTTGCGACAAGATGCTAAACCGTACCTAGCATGCGCCAGATGCCGCGAGCAGCAGCCAAATAAACCATAACCGTCGAAGCACTTGCGTGCCAGAGTTGAGGAAGAACACGACATGAAGATAGTATAGGGGCCTACAACTATCATAAGGAGCCCCGACGATAGTATAGGTAGTTATTTCAGCCCCTATAGTACCAGCCCAGGAGCTCCACAAATCAACCAAAACTCCGGCCCAGAACAATGTGAACCTCAGCGAAAAAAAGATGCTAAACTACTTCCATTGTGGTCCATAGGCTCGCGTGCTGCGTGCAGGTCGAGCTTGTCGCGGTGTTTCTTCCTCGATATCGCAGTATTGGCTGAGCTGGTGCGCATGTCTCACAACTCACAACACAGCTCGTACAGGCGATTCACTGATGCTGCGCGTGTGGCAAGTGTCTCCTCTCTAGTTGCCTGGAGCATGCCATGGACGGAGCATACGGAAGCGGCAGAGCAATCTGCTTGTTTCGGGAAGTTGGCAAGAATTCGGCTGAAAACCTCTAAGCCGCGGCCAACAACACCGATCCACAACACTGAACGCCAAGCACATAAACCTTTACACCGGAACAGTAGACCCTCCCCTTGTGGATGCACAAAAAAGTACTAGCCGGGTGCATCGTTGCAGGCAAACTGTCATATAATTGTCTAGACCCCCATTGAACAAGGCATAACCGGCATGTTCCGTAAAAGCTGATAGACTGGCGCATTGTCCTAGACCTCAAACGATGAGCCACGAATCACACACGGACGCAAATCAAGTTTGCATGCATACTTGCGCGGAAGCCTGACCCCAGCATGCATGCTCGAGGTGCATGCATTCCTGATGTGCATACGCATCCTCAACAACCAATACAAAGGAGCACCGACAGTTGGGTCGGCACAACGACGAAAGCTAGAAAGCAAAGCTCAAGCCAACAACCGCAAGCGCATTGGATATATGTGCTACAAAGGTACGCTAATCACGCTTGCGCATGGCATGGTGGGTGCCTGTCTGATGCTGCCACAACAGAGAGAGTACAGCAACCGCATGCAGTGAGGGCATGCAAAAGCAGTATTACAGGAAGGGTATGAGTGTTGGACCTTGCGTCTTTAGGGGTACTGTGGTAGTGTCAACCTGTCAGTGTCAACAGTAGATTAAGCGACATGTGTCGTGTACAATCTGTGCACATATGCACAATACGAAAAAGAGACATCTGAATATACAGAATGCATACATTTATGTATGCATGCATCTATGAGTCTATGCACATACCCAGAATTGATGTGTGTGTGTATGTATATACAGATAGGTAGATAGACAGATAGATACATACATACATACATACATACATACATACATATTCACACACGCGCGGGTACATATTTACGCGTATTCAAACATGAACACGTATGTAATACCAGTACAGATATGATAGATGTGCAAAGATGTGCGCCATATGCCACAATACAGTTATCCGAGCATGCGAGCAAGCTTGACTGTGTCGTTTTCAGAACATCTCCCGTTGGCTCACACAGCGTGATGCCATGTCTGACACAAATATTGACTTCTTGCTGAAGTTGTTATGAATTTATGCGTACAGATTGTGCCTGTGAGTTCTATGGGAGCTAAAAGTCGAGGCGCAACTATGAAAATAATCGAGATTTGGCATCAGTTACGCACTAGGCATCATAAACGAAACACAGACACAAATGGGTTTTGTCAGAAGCAATGTTGGTGGATGCTACAGACATGCACATGTAGCCTCTGCCCATGATAGCACACAGTTATCTTTCTTGACAGGCGTCTCGGATCAACGGCTTTGCGTGGATTTGAAGCTTGTGTTTCCGGGGATGGAGCGCAACCTCTGTACGAGAGTGGTCCTACTGCATCCAGGCCACGCTTCGCTTCCGAAGATTCTGAACTTCTTGCTGTTCTCCTGGACACAGTTTCAAATCCATAGCATCCGCGTGGGCAAGGCATGAAACTTCGTAACCCGTCGACCTGGACGTACAACTTCTGCTATCTATCTATAGGCGACCGGCCATGCAGTGGTAAGCACTCTGTCGGGATCGAAAACGAAGAGTGCTGGAGGGACTTCCGGCCCGGGTTTCAAGTTGAGGGATTGCTTTGCAACCTCGTCCTGTGCACGTGTCCCCCTTCCCCAGTTTGACATGGGGCATTAATTGAACACAGTTTGGGGCAAATTGTAGTAGAGGTACATTAATTAAGGACCGCACAGGACTAGCATGGATAAATACTCAGGCTATGTTAGCAGGGCTTGCAAACTTTGGCCTCCAAAACCAAAGCCGTACGCCGCTGGACTTCGCCGGTCCATGAACTCAACATCCGTGGAAGCGCTACCTCCAGCCTAAATGTAATTGGCTTCAGCCCTTCATGGGGGGGAAATGCCCCAACTCCCGAATCTCTCGGACATCAGATCATGGCATCAATCACGACAGGCAAATTCCTCTGTTTAAGCCTCTTACTAAGAAGAACAAGCGACTATTGCAATCACCACAGACCTGCAATACCAGCATAGCATTGGCACAATGGCGCTTGCCACGCCGTGCCACGCTAACAGCGAAGATTCGAAGAATGGACATCCAGAAGCATGACGTCAGCACAAGCCGACTGTCCTTCTCCTGCGGACTCTGGGGTGTGGGCGGCCGGTCGGAATGAAAACTTGCCTGGGGCACATCTTCCACTGGAGACGCATGAAGCTTTAGGGGTAGGTCTTAGGGTTTTGGGGATATGCGTTTGTTTGGGGTTGCCATCGCCGATATGCATGCTTCAGATCGATGAAGACGGGACAAGCAAGTGCAGCAAGCATGAAGAAGAATCAGCCACTTGTTTGAGCCCTCTTCCCCTGCCACGGTGCGTCGTGGACCTCCTGCATCGAGATGGACCTTGCATCGTGATGCCAGCCGGCACACAATATCCCCCGAGTGCACAACGACTCAAGCATGCAAACCCAATGCCTAAAGCCTAAGTCTGTCAGCCCCAAAACCCTGACTCTCTCTCTCTCTCTCTGTCTCTCCCTGTCCCTCTCTCTCTGTCTCCCAGGCAGCCCCAAAACCCTAAACACCTAAACCGAACGGCTCTTAGGCACAGAATCCTAAACAGCGCCCTTGGCCCCGACATTTAGGAATGTCCGAAGCCCAGACCTTCCTAAGTTGGACCGCCCGTAACCCTAAACCCCATCTGCGTATACGTATTATTACCTAACATAATACAATGACTCTTATACATATATATATATATGCACATACATGTAGATCATACCGAACCCTATAGCCTATCCCATCCGGCTCGGAGCCCACGAAGCCGCCGATCGCGCAAAGGCAACCAGACCCTCAAATTCGAACCCTCGCCCTCACCTCGCACGCCCGTCTCACCCAGTGTCTCTTGCAAGGCCGACCCTTCAATGTTAACTAATAGGGGCCGTAATCATTAGAATAGGGTTTTGGTGCCCATTATACTATAGTAATGAGGAAACCCCCACAATAGTATTGGTATAGTATTGGTAATTATTCAGGCCAGTTCGAGCCAGGTGTCACTTCGGGTTTGGCCTGCATCATGGTCATCGTCTGGGAGTCGCCTCCATCGCCTACATGAACTAACGGGTAGAAGGGTCAATCTGCACCTCACCAAGATCAAGCTAAAAGCGTCACTGAGTTTGCATACCCTGAACGATTCGACTTCATTCAAGCTGCAGCTGCCCTGACCTCCCAAAGAAGTCAAAAGCCTGCAAAAGCCGGGATTTTCCTGCCTAAATCTTCCTCCTCGGACTCGTCGGAGTCATCCAGGTCGAACCCCCCTGACATCAGCCGCGCCCAACTCTGCAAACCCCTACTGTTCCCAAAACCCAAAGAGCCTGGAACTCAAGGCGTACGTTGGCAGGGATGCAGTGACACGACAGTGTGAAATGCAACATCTCGCAACTCTTCCTGCCCCAAAAGAAGCAGAATGCGTACTGCAGCATTTGTCGGTGAGAAGTAGCACGTCACTAGCTAACAATAGTAGTTGCAGCTGCCGAAGTACTGTCGCAAGGCTCAGGCCACAGCTGGTTTTTCAAGGGCTTCTATGGCCTGCTTGGTTTTCGCTTAAGCAAGGTCTGAATCCAACACCCATGCGCCCCTAACCCTAAAACCCCCACATAGTCACGCATGGCACCCTGGGCGACTCAAACTTTAGTACCTCCGCACAGACCAAGGAACTAAGTCGACCTCCGAGTAATCACATGGGAAGCTGCGAGAGCCGACGTGATCCGTCGTTCAACACAACATTTCAAACAACATGTAAGGAGGCATTGGCCAACAGCCCTCTTTAGCAGCCGTGTAGTCACCCGAATTAGCCTTATGGCATCCCGTATCGTATCCTGGTTGTAACCTTATAGTTAACCTCAACCCAACTTTTCACCTTTGGAGCATCCGAGTATCCGTATAATAACTAGTAACCCTCTAGTAACCATCATATTGACCAGGAGATACCCCCATAGCAGCCCCTCTAGCAAATATGGAAACGTTACAGAAACAGAAATGCAGCCCTCCTTGAATCCGCACTTCGAAACCTAGAAACATTAACCCTGAATCCCGAGCCCTTAACCCATGCTCCTTACATTGCTAATTCGCGAAATGAGGATCCCTCTTCAGGTCCTGAAAACACTACGGCACCCTCCGAAAAAGGATCATAAAAAGGGACCCTAATTTAGAGAAGTATCCAGATAATACCCTCATAGAATTCCTTATAGATCCCTTGGGGGAGCCCGAAAAAGGAACCCTCGATCAATTGAAAGCCCACTCCAAATTGGAGGCTCGAAAGGTCCAAGAGGCCGTCGAAGTCCTGGAGGACAACCGGAGCTTCGTGGTGTCATAGGTTTTTGACGAGCTTTATACGGCTATATGAGGGGTTCAGATACAGAAGCCATAAATAATTGCCTATATTATTCATTCGGTTCCTTATTATCGCTATACTATAAAGGAGCCCAAAGCTCCATTTTAACTACTAAGGCCCCTATATTTAACGGTGGTTCCACAACGCTTCTATTGGGTGTCGGGTTTCTGTGCGTGCGAGGGTGAAGGCCTCTCGCTTCTGGGGGTTGAGAGGCCCAGAGTCTCCAGGATCCTTAAACGATAATAATAAATAGGGTTCCTTTAAGCGGTTACTATAGCGGTACTATCAGGGTTCCTTTAAAGGGCTCTTTAAGGGTTTAGGGGGTTTCCGAAAATAGGGGACTCTAAGATAGCACGCTGAATAGTAGGATCCTTGTTATGAAGAACCCCAAAATAAGGTACCCCTTATCGGAAACTCCCATATAACGGATCCTTTTACACTTTAAGGTACATTCCTGCTATGGATATTGGAGTCTCTGGGGCCTTGAGGCTAGGGCTTGAGGCTTAGCGCTTTAGGGCTTTTGCTTGGGAGGATGAGAGCTTCTATGGTGGTTTTTGCAATGGTTTGTAGGTGTGGGCTGAGGGTTAAAGGGTTCTGTGCGTGCGTGCGTGCATGCGTGTGTGCTTGGGTGTCTGTGTCTGTGCGAGTATTTTGTCAGCTTGGGGTTCATGTTTTTTACAAGGCTGAAGGTCCATGGTTTAGGGCATTGGGTGTTCCATCAGGTTCAGGTTTCGGGTTTAACCGTTTGAAAGACTTTTTTGGCAGGTTTTGACTTGACGGGCTCGCTGCATGGGTATCGCCGGATAGAGGCCATTGCTCTTCGCAGGACGACTACGGAAGTCGCCGGTTAAGGCTAGGGAGGCTTGCGCTGATTGAGTGGATGTTTCGTCTGCGTTGCCGAGTTGAGCATGTCTACTCTCCTGTCGTCTACCTTAGGAAAGCCATGCAATGCCGACTAGTGGCCGTGCAATAAAGAGGCTACATCATTGAAGCCTGCAGACTGATCGAAGCAGCTACAAGAACTTAACTAAAGCCTTGAAGGTCAACGTAACCCTCAAAAACCAGAACTCACAAACGTCCTACAAACCCTAAAGCCCTAAATCCGCTCAAGAGCCTAACTCCGCGCCTCTTCATCGTCTGCACCCTGGAGACGGATATGAGATATGGGGGGCAGGGAAGAGGAGGGTATGCAGTCTAACGGGCTTTCGGGGTTTCGTGGGTTTAGCGGTTCCGGTTCGGCCCAATCACGATTCCCGCTCGTGGATGACAATTCCAGCCCTGACTTGCACTCCAAAGACAAAACCACCGTAAAACTGCTGGAGATGCAATCTCATCTGCTTAGCCCTCAGGTGCTGAAGCCGGTGATACAGCCCTCAGCTCCGCGGCCTCACCCAAAGCTTCCGTTGGATCGTCCGCACTCCGGCGCCGGCAGCACCTGAAAGAAGACTTAACCGCTCAACTTTAAGAGAACGGAGATGTGTGTTTCAAATTATAGTAAATTGAACCCGGGCACAGAGTCCTTCATATCGGGATCAGAAAGCTTGAATAGATCTGAACTGCGGATCTTTCCCCGTACCGGAATTGAGCCCCTCAGGACAGCCACCCACAAGAATTAACTGTGAACGCTCGTTCACAAAACACCCTCCGACATACAGAGTCACATGACCCACGCTGCAACTTGCCCCCGGACCTCACGAGGTGACAAAACTTACCAATCAACAGCTCTTATTAATGAACAATCCCGTACTGCCGGAAAGCTCTCGGTCTTCATGACCGAAGAATTCGTGCATGATCATCAAACGAGACTATGCTCCAACAGTAGGGCTCTTAGTGGAATTTGGGAAGTCTGTACAACAGCTTCATGAATACCACCCTTGCGTGCGGGTAAGTGCCACGCTGCAACTCAACCCTAAAGCCTAGAACTTAAAAAAGGGTGTTCCGTGTCCAGTTCAAGATTCCATGCGGCCCTAGGACAAGTGATGCCTTACCGTCTCGGTGGGTGGGCAAGATGTCTTCTTTCGGCTCTTTGGGCTTCCTGGTTTGATGTTCAGGTTAAGGAGTTGCTTGGGTGCTGTCATTTCGACTAACCGGTCGAGCCCTGATGCAGACATCGACGAAATGGGGTAAGTCGTTGAGGGTCCGAATATAGATATCGGGCACAGATAGCCGCTTGAGTTCACCAACCTTCCACACGGAGTTTCCTCGCATTTCTGCATAAGCTCAACGAATAGTTCCTAAGAGCCGCTGTCCCAGTGCTTGACGTTTTCGCACGCATGTCAAGGATAGGTTGCAGCCAAGGTTCCGCTTCTTCTGAAAGTAAGACTCCTTCTGCTTCCTTGACAAGGCTGAGCAGAAAGTAAGGTGCCGGGTTGCGAAATGCAAAAGGTCCAGACAGAAAAGAGGAAGGCTCCACGATCCCAACAGTAAACCCAAGAAGCTTAAGACACTACTGAAGCTAAATGCCCCACATCCGAGCCTTAGGATGCAGACACCTCCCAACTCCAAAAGCCACCAACACAAAATTGAAACCCGATGAAGTCTGGGGCGCTTTAACTTCACGCTCCTAGGTTAAACTCCAGCTAGGCTACGCAAACCGTGAACTTTCAACCCTAAACCCCCACTCCTCGTGGCCAGCTCGATGTAGGCTTCTCGTCGGATCGCCAGGCATTCCTCGGGTGTCAACTATTCCCTTTCTATAAGGGCTAAGTGCACAAGGGTAATGGCTGCATGCATGGTTGCAACATAAAGCTCGTAGGGTTAGGATCCAAGTTCTAGGACTTGGGCTTTTTCGGGCTTAGGGTCTCTTAGTGTTGCTGATACTGATCTCCTTAAGTGACGAACCCCTATTATTGTTTAGCAGCAGCCGAATAGTTCGCGCAGCCGTTCCACTGCACCACTTAAGGTTGGGGTGCATGATGGTGCATGCATCCCGGGCGCGAGCAGAGGGAGCGAGACTTGGAGCACTTCCACGCGCGTCTGGTCGACGGAACCCCTGTGACATGTGCCAGCTTGCTCAATCTACACTGTGTGGAAAATGAAGCATTTGAACAAGTGGGTCGCATAGGGCTGTGAAGAATCATGTAACCAGATTACGAAGAAGTACTATGATTGGGATACAGAATAGTATACTTATTTGGGCCGTAGAGAAGTGATACTGCGAATTCTTGCGTCTCCCCAGGCTGCTCTACCTACTCCCGAGCTCGAGTGCTTAGCTTGCCGTGGCCTTCTGTGAGGTTGGAAAGCTCCAGTCTGAAAACATGTTGCGACGTTCGTAAACATCATAGTGGATGGGGCAGCACAGTTCAGCCGAATGGTACAGACACAAATCACCGGTTCAAAGACGATGATTTGTCTTCCAGCCATGCCTAATCACCGGCACCGAGACTTGGGCTGGGTGCGCTCATCACCAGTAAAACATAAGAGAGCATCATAACTTATACCACACGGTTGATATGTGCATGCGCATGTGTATGTATGTATGTATGTATGTATGTGTGTGTGTGTGTGTGTCTGTGTGTATGCGCGTGTTTACTGTGTCCGCCAGGTCCAGGCTTCTCAGGCGAGCCGTGCGCCTTGCGACCAAGGCCTCAAAGAGGGCATGGCGTAGCGAAGCAGACCGGCGTATGTGCCTGGCCACGGGCAAAGGGGAAAGAAGGGACGGCAAGAGAGACAGAGAGAGTGAGAGAGACTGACTGAGAGAGAACCAAAGATAAAGCAATCGAGACGAAGGGAATACTGTTACAAAGATACGAAGGTATCGACATGTATAGATAGACTAGATGAAGTAGCCCGACAAATGCACAGACGAGCACAACTAGACAGGCTGAGAGAAGTAGTTGCAGAGATGTAGAGTATGCAGGCAGGAGCGATGACTACAGCTCTTCATCTGAGGCACACCCAGCTCAAAGAAGTCCAGTGATAGCGCGGGTGGATGCTGCGCAACCTGACATGCTGTGCTTGCCGTGCACCGTCCGTCAGGGGGAGGTTCTGTATAGAGCCTACTAAATACCGACACTCGTTTGGACACTTGATGCGCAATGCTGCCGATCACAAACCGAACCCGCCACACCGCTGCTTCGACTGCTGCTGTTGCTGCTGCCACCACAAATGCTTCTACCGTCCTATGCTGCTTCAGTGCTGTTGTTGCTGCTCCTACGACGACGACGGCGACTACTACAACATGTGCAGTCTGCGACACTTTGGGAGGAGAACAAGCTATCCGAGCGTAGGAAGCTCGGCCGGCTACACATCTTCCTTGAAAGCCTACGCCTGCCTGCTGCGCAGAAACCTCTGACAAAAACAACTATTAAACTGCACCTTTACGTCTTCCAACTGCGTGTAACTGCCAGGCGAGTCCATTGCGCGAGTACTTTTCTTCAACAGTTCTTCAACCAAGACACTCTGCATTGCAAATTGCTACCCAGGAAAACGGAGTGCAAACTCAGCGAGGCATTCTTCGGCGCTTTGACAAATCGCGAAGCACGCGGAAGCAGCCACTTCGCAAAGGAACACATCAGAGCGTCTCAAACATCATCTGGACGGCTCGGGGAATATTCGAAGCTAAATGCTAAAGCCTTGGGAACCTTAATTCCAAAGCCGGAACCAGAGACCCAAGAAGGCACCACCCAAGTAGAAGCTTACTATCCCCCCGCCAGTAGTAGCCCACGAACGTTTTTACAGAAACAAACTATAAGCTTCCCCTATGTAATACAGCTAGCACCCCGCAAGGCCCCTCAACTTCTCCAGGCCTCAATCGGCCTCATAGGGTTTAGGGTTTAGGGGTTTAAGGGTTTAAGGGTTTAGGGGTTTAGGGGTTTACGGGTTTAGGGGTTTTAAGGGTTTAGGGTTTACATGTAACCCCCAAAGCCTCTTTCTCCCCAAACTCTTAACTCTAGGACTTCTGCAACTGGCCTGCGGCGACTCCGCCAGGACGAACACATGACCACAATAACTTAGTGAGTAAGCCTGGGACCCCTAAAAAAGACATCGAACTTTCCCCTACACCCCTAAAACTCCTCAAACACCAAGTTCACAGCTGGGAGGCACAAGCTTCAAAGCGTAGGCCCAGAGTAGCCGACCCTTGGAGAGCCCGGAGCCCGAGATGTCTGCAGCCTGCCTGGAATTAGGAGTTAGGGTTCCTTTTAAAGGGATCCCTGAAGGGGTCTATAATGGGGTTCTGAATAGTGGTATTGATTTAGAACAGGGTTTTGGTGCCCATTATACTATAACTATAATCAGGAACCACAAAACAGTATACGTTATTAAGGCCCCTGTAGTAGGGCTTTAGGCTTTAGGCCTTTGGGGTTTAAGCGGTTAGGGTTTGGAGCTTTAGATGTTCAGGCCTTTGGACTCTCGCAACTCGAGCAATGTAAGTGAAGGTTGTCAATCAAATCAGCTCGTGCGCGAAAGTCGACAAACCTTGAAGCAGATTTTGCAGGACCCCCCAAAACAATTAAAGTTCGGCATCCGGAAGCAGCGCTAGGTGTCATGTATACGCAATGCAAACCTAAGCCCCAGTCCCACATCACCCTAATCCCCAGCCGCTGCTCTACAGTGTTCTCCCGGAAATCAGACGCTTAAACAAAACCCCAGCCGACCCATCAAAAAGGACTATAGCAAATCCTGAGAGAACCGTCTGAAACCCGACTAACTTGACCAATGCCCGAGCAAAACCCTTGCAATGGCAACCAAAACTCGTATACACCCCTGGGAAACCCTCCATCCTTGTGAAAGCCCTTCCAGAGCCCCTTACTTGGAGGATCATGGGACTTAGTAAGTATGGTTATAAATACCTTAATAGGGGCTATAAGTAGTTATAAGTATAGTTACCCTAATTATAACCCTAGTTACTAAGTCCCATGATCCTTTAAGTACACCAAGCCCCACAGATTCGCTCTTTCAGCCCAGATCCTCCAGAATCCCTAAACGAGCCCTTACACGGACCCGGTGCCACGTGCAAAACGAGTTAGTTAAGGTATCTCATAATGATACCCCAAAAGGATACCGATGAAGATCCTGGAACAGGAAGCCTGTAGGATGATGGTGGAGGCTTCCACTGGAAGAGATTGTCTTGCCGGACCCATCGCTGCACGTAGCCTAGGACCAGGGTTTGGGAGTGCAGGGTGTTAGATTTTGGGGTTGAGGACTTAGGGCTTCAAGAATTTGGAGTTTCGGCGGGGCCCTTTTTTCCCGTCTACTTAGCAAGGACGAGGCCCGCATTGCAGGGGATGTTCGGCATCGGGGTGGAGCTTGCGACGTAGGGCTTGTAGCCAGAGTTTGTGGGCTTTAGAGCTTGCCACGGCTTTGATGGCTTACCGGAATTTCGCAAAGCAAAAACCATCGAAGCGCACAGTAGACAGTGGCACAGAAGGTTGTAGGATTTTAGTTTTTGCGTGTGACACCGATAGTAGGAATGGCAATGCAAGAGCAAGAGCTAGGCTATGTAGACGTTGGTGAATACACGGACATGTGTCTGCGTTGGCTCTGCCAGGTTCTTGATATAGGACGAGTAACGAACAACACGCGCAATGAGTTGTATGAGGTCCTCAGGTTCAGCTGAGCTAGACTCGGCCTGAAAAAGGGAACTTCGACACAAAGAGAACTCAAGACGGGTGGCCAATGATGGCAGCCAAGCCCTTCAGCTGAGTCATATCCAGCAGAGTGGAAAGCTCCTGCTTGGGATTTGTTGCATTTTGGCTTAAGACCCAGGCTAAGGCTGTTGGAGTCTTGCAGTATCAAGGAGGTTGTGCAGTCTGTGACGACCATATAAGTACTACAAGGGACTGTCGATGATTCTCCAGACCCCTATATACTAGACTCTTCGAAGTGTCAGAAAAAGGATGCAACTTCCGGAATGAACACACTATTACAAGAGATTTGGGATTTGCTTGACACCCATTCACCAGTAGCACAGCAAGCCTAAACCCCAACTCCTTCCCTCAAGCCTATTTTAAACCCTACATCCTATTACGAACTCTGAACCCCATCATAAGCGTTGGCTTTTAATTAATCCCTGAGCCCCCTTTTTGCTGCTGCGGGGCAGCTCGCCCAGGTCTCGGTGTCTGTTGCTCTGGGTTTATTCTGAAGAGGTCATCTGCCCGCAAGGGTTTAAGCTTTACTCTGAAGAGGTGCCGAGGTGCGTTTTGGAAAATGTTGGCGAAACAGCCCAGGCATGACAGAATGCCTAGTTGAACTGCAGCACTAAAAATCGAACTCTAAGCTGCAAGCCCCAAGCGAATCAAATCATCAGTCGTCACCAGCGGGTCCTGGATGTCAAGATCCACATCCAAGTGTGGCTCGCCGCCGGATCCTTGCTTTACTCTCCTACCATAGGGAGCCTCTTCGATTTGAACCTTATTTGGGGGTATATTCTACAATTCTACTATAGCTACAATAAGGAATACTCTCCTACCATAATGCCATAAGGGGCCTTGTTAATTTGAATCTTGTTTGGGGGTATATTCTACAATTCTACTATAGCTGCAAGAAGTAATCCTCAAAAGAGTGTTCAGGCCCCTATCTATATTGACATCCGTTGCCGCGCTTTCAGCGGAAAGTAGGACTCAGCTCTCTGCATGCCCAAGTACCAGCCTGACGAAAGCACTCCTCAAACTAGTCCCTAACCTTCCTTAATCATGAGAGACATCTAGTATAATGTACCCTAAAACCCTACAAACCTCAATAGCTTCTTGGGGTCAGCGCCTCCTTTAGTCAGGAATGCGACCAGCCACATCCAACGAGACCAATCAGATAGCCCATTTAGGAACCTTATTTAGGGGCTGCAGGATTCAGGGTTTAGGGCTTAGGTTTTAAGGGGTTTAGGGTTTAATATTACAGTATCTACCTGCACTATTGGGGAGGGCTCCTTAATAACTATCGTATAATATACACCAAAACCCTATTCTAATCATTAAGGCCCCTATATTACCCAACACCACTAAAGCCCCGACTCCGACTGGTTTGACTGATAGCCCTCAGCCCTGTATCCGAAACAGAGTTCAGTTCATATAGCCCTAAATTCGGCCCGAAACCCTGAATCCTACGCATCCTCTTGTGAAAACAGACGCATGCCGAAGGAGCCCTTGAAGGGCAGGCAGACGAAATGGAGGCTGAAGTTGCAGGGCTCCACCTTAGCATAGGCAGGCAAGGGGTTTAGGGTTTTTGGTGCTTTGGGTTTGAGATTTCAAGTGCTTGAATCAAACAAAAAGTCTTGCTGCCAAAGAGAACCGGGGATGTCAGGGACTTTTGTACCGAGGATCCATGATGCAAGAACGAGATTCTGTTGCGCAATCTTCTGTCAGGCTGCAATTACAAGATCATAGAAGTGCCAGTGTGCAGAGGCGTCTGGCAAATGCACAAAAAGACCTATGAGTACTAACTGACTAGTGCAATAAGCAGTGAACTATTTCGAACAGGGCTCAAAGGACCATGAGCCGTTGAAAGCTAGAGACACCATGAGTGTGTGACTTTTTGGCACTCTCAACTCGACGCAGTCATGCGAGGTTTATGAGTGTGTGACTTCGAGCGCAAACGTTCCGTACAACAGGCCTTCCACTGTGCGTCTGGGGCTTCGTGATAGAAGCAATCGACTCTGGGCCGCGAGGCTGTAAAGAACATGTCTAAACCCGGCACTCATCGGTACAAAAGAACATCCCACGACACGGAAACCGAATCATTCACCCGCCTAAATCAGCCTCACGGACCCTACTTCCCCAAGCGAACATCATTCGGGCAAGCAGCCAACATGAAAACAGCCCTGAGCAACGGCCGGCAATGTGCTTTTTGCGGCGAGCTCTGTGCGTGTCTGGTGATAGTAGGTACGAGCCAGCTGAGACGCTTGCCTAATCAGGAAATGAACTGCCTGCACTCTTAGTTTCTGGGTCTTGCAAGGAGTTTCAGACATGGCTCATATACTTCCTAGCATCCTTCTTTCCAGCGCGACCGAACCATAACCTCCATCTTTTATTTGCGGAGCTGCGAGCAATGAGCATGCTGGTAGCGGGAAAGACGATAGTTCTGGGTGTATGTTGGGCTTTGGGCGTTTGTGCCATCCCCCAACCGGTCGAAGGGCACCTGTGTGCCCGAAGCTAAGTGGAGAGCATGCTTCTTATGCAACCGCTCTCCCAACTAAAGGCGTTTGCCCTGTTGTGCAGATGCCTCGTACACACGCGAAGAAGAAGTGAAAGAACCTAGGATCAAGATGACGACACGCTCTGATGCTGGTGCGGGCCACCGTTTAAGCGACTACATCATAATGTACTCAGAAAGGCATCACCAGGTCCGGTAGTTGGAGAAAGCATTTCCTATCGCACTACCGATATGTCTTCCTGTGTTTCTGTCTTTCTGATCTAGTCGAGTCTAGTCTGGACCAGCCGAATCACATGTAATCCTGTTCATCGACGAATATTTACTACTCTAAGCGAACCTCAGCTGATGAAAACCTATATCTCTATCAGTCTATGCAACTAGCTACCTGTCAATCTAGCTACCCAGCAAGCTAGCCAGCTATCGATGTAATGATCGAACTAACATCTTTTGCACACTAGAGAAACGAAGAATATGCTATGAGTAAGTTCAATACAAAAGTTTCGGAGAAAAAACAAACAGATCTGCTTACGAGGCCTAGCAAGGCCGGCTCTGAATTTGGCATGCGGGGGTGCACGGCTCCTTGACCGGGCCCCCCAACTCAAATTCCTCACAGATTCTGGCAGGCCTTCCTACCAAAGGTCTACTATTCTGAATATCATTCAGCCTTCCTCATAGCCGCGCGGCAAGGCCTTCAGGCACCACCATGGAGACCCTGAAACATGGCTTTCTTGGCCTTCTGTCTCCTCTTCTTCTCCCCCTTGTCACACAAGTGGCAGAAGGAGCACATCTGGCCTCGGCTGTTCTGCAGCCCACAGAGAAAAAAGTATATTATATAGGTTTTTCGCCTACCGCCTTATACCAAAAAACAAAAGAAAAAGGATGCCAGCTGTTGATGCGAGCGACCGTTGACGCAGCCCTTGGCGTGGAGGAAGGCACAGGGCCGACAGTCTTTCGTGAAATGGCCCTTGGAGCCAATGCTCGGAAGCTCCTTCACCAGGCCGGGGTTTAGGGTTTAGGGGCTTAGGGTTTTTTTGCCTCCTGCATGGCTTAGGGTTTGGGGTTGGGGATTTAGGGGCTAGGGTTTTAGGGTTTGGGGTTTAGGGTTTAGGGTCGGCTCTTGTCAAAGGTTCCCTTCAAGGGTTCTAATGAAGAAACCTTGGACCTGAATTAGGGCCCCGTAAAGGGATCCTTTAGTATTTTGGGGTTTTAGGCCCAGGGTCTTAATCAGGTTCCTACTTTCTCAGGGTTCCTTCCAGGTTTCTACAAGGGCTTAGGGGATAAGGGAATCAACTCAAGTTACCATGATAGGGATCTATAGTAAATAACCGGGTTTCCTTATTCTGGTAACTTAAGCTAAGTCCCTTAATAGGAACCCAGAAAGAGTTTGGGATTCCAAAAAAGGGTAACAAATACTATAAGAAGCAAGCAGCTGGTATTCCTAAGTCTAAGTATAATGAGTAATAAAGGAATGCCGTAGGGAATACGATAATGGACAAGACGTCAGAGGGGATTAGTAGACAGTAGCCTTCGCTACAGGAGTGGAGCATCCCCGACAGTAGCCCTTGTTGCTTTTAGTATCCCCCACAGCAACCCTGACTATAGAGCAAATCATACCCGTATGAGCCCCTTTATTGCAAGAGCCGTAAGGACTGTAATAGTGCCCTGAACCCCCTAAACCCTGCTCCTCGGGGCTGAAAGGGCTGGGATCCTGGTAGCTGTAGGACACTTGGGGTGCTTGGGCTGCCTCGAAGGGCATGGGTGCTTCGAAGAGGGCATCTTCTAGGCAAATCACGGGTCTGCTGCTCGGGATGATGGGGGGAAGCTCTGCGGCATCATCTTCCTCGAAGAGCTTCTCAATCCACCCGATGTGGCTAGCTGGGCAGGAAAAAACATGTTTCGAAGCATCGTCCACGCCATTTTCTGGTGTTGCTACGTGGATGAATGTGTTGCGAACTTGGACTGCTTCGGTCGGATAAATCTCTGCATCTGCATCCTCCGGGATGGAGATCTGCATGTTGTCCCTGCATCTGTGCAGCCCAGCGCCCAAGTAAGGGTGCCCCGCTGACGCCATCATGTCCATGGCCATCGACATTTCTACGGCTTCTCGAAGCCGGCAAAATCTACTCCAAGCTTGAGCCTGTCCAAACTACCAGTGGAGGACATGGTTGCAGCCGCCCTCCGACGCATGACTACAATTAGTACTATTACCATTGGGTTATGACGGTTCTTACCATTCTTGCGCTCTTCAACAGCATGGCAGGGAAACAGCAAAACAACAGGTCAGCTGAGACAAAGTGCCAAATACTTGTGCTGGCCGATGATGTCCCGCAGACGTCGAGCTTTCTCACGGAGCCGATGCTGAGACAGATGCACTGCGTGAGGACCTGCACGACCCGATTGGGATGGAGAGGGGCACGAGTTCCTTCTGCTGCCGTTAACCTTGCATTGGAGCCTTATGCGATAAATTGATCTTTCCTATGTCTGCATAGACAGCATGCCACGGTGACGAAGCGTCAAACTGGTAGAATGCCTCGTGCTCGGTACGAGTCCTGATGAGTCATGCTCGTTAAAAATTCCAAACGCAGCAGCAACAGCAGCAGCAGCAGCAGGCTGCTGAAATTCCGGAAAGACATTCAGATGACTGGTGGACGTGATCGGTCCAAGCACTAGGTCCCGATATGGTTAATCTCTGAAAAGCACACCCTGCCGTGACACTTTCTGGAACACGCTCCGTGGCCTTGTCGTTCATCCAACATCTGCTGCATGACAAAGCGGCTGATGCCATAGCGCAAGCGCTCCCACTTCCTGCCGAGGAAGAGGGGTTTGGGGTTACAATTATATAGGGTTTAAACCCTGTAAACCTACATGCAGCACAGAAGGTTCTGGAGCGTACGGAAAAGCCATGCCTCAGGATCTTCCGGGTCTTCAGGAAATCGGAAACGCTGCAGCCGCTATCCTCGGTGTGCATCGGAGGATGCCTAGTTTGCTGTGGGGTACTCTGATAATTGCTGGTGGTCGTGGTGGCCACGTTAGTCGTGGTACTTGTGCTCGTGCTTGTGCTGGTAATGGTGGTAGTAGTAGTAGTGGTACTGTTGCTTCCACCGTAGTAGTAGTAGTAGTAGTAGTAGTAGTAGTAGTAGCAGCAGCAGCATCAGGAGTAGTAGTAGCAGCAGCAGGAGCAGCAGGAGTAGCAGTAGCCGTAGCCGTAGCCGTAGCCGTAGCGGTAGCCGTAACAGTAGCAGTAGCAGTAGCCGTAGCAGCAGCAGTCGCGGTAGCAGCAGCAGTAGTAGCAGCAGTAGCACTCACTCGCAATCTTGCGTTGACAACCAGTTAGCAGAAGGGACAGGAAGCGAAAGCGAGCAGACGTGCCTCCAAGCAATAGAAAAACATCGGAGTTGAGCCGGGCAACTTCACATCATGTAACTACACTTGCAAAGCTAGTGCCGCGATTGCCACCCATCCCAGGAAATGGCATTCTTGGTGGTATTGTTGGTGGTAGCCGTCGTGGCGTCGATGGACGTATGCTACGCCACTTCTCAGAGAACCCCCGATTCTGTACATATGGCCTGTAGTAGAATATATGGTCAGTACCTGTTAGTATGACACAGGTAAGCGTTGTTCTCTTCCTTCCCCGGCAGAAGATGCGAAGCGCGTTCGTTCACCACAAGTATCAAAATTGACTTGCCGCCCACGGTTGCAGGCTTCGTCTTTATGCCGTCCCGGACAACCACCCCACTGATGTTACTCCACTGTGCTGATTGGGAGTAATCGTTCAAGCGGTAAGATTTGCCGAGAACGCTGACTGCTGCATGTAGCAGAAATTAACATAAACTATAAGTAAACGAGCATCAGTAGCAGTCCCTGCCAGCGGGAGCAGAAGTTCATGCCGAGGCCAACACAAACTGAGCCTTGAAAGCTGATTTGAGACCTAATCTCTGAAACGAGCATGTGCCTCTACGACGTAGTATGGTCCGAGCCTTTTAAGGGGCTCTTGAGCCGGGCTTCTTCTTGTAGCCGTAGTCGGAATTGCGAAGTGGCGGTGGTCTGCTGCATCTGAAGGCCTGGGAGGCGGGGCTGCTAGCATTCTCGGTTCTGTTTATCTTTACAGGGTTTAGGGTTTCGGGTTTCAGCACTCGGGACTAGGGTTTAGGGTTTAGGGTTTTTTTAAAGTTGAACTGCACCCTTTCTCCGAAAGGGCGCTGGCATTTTGCCCTCAACTAGGTGAAACAACCACCGAACTTTTAGTCAGGGTTTAGGGTTTAGGGTTTGGGGTTTCGGCGCTCACACTCGGACAAACCAGGCGAGGCATATGGTTCGGAGTCTGACGATGTGAGACATGCTAAAGGGCCTCATATGATTGATCAAAACAGCCAAATGGGAACACATAAAGTGACTGTGTCGGATGAGACCGCGCCCTTACCCAAGATCCTATAAACTGAAAACACCTGTGGGCCAATAGGATCTTGGAGAATCTGAGGCAGCAGATCACTTTTTGCCCGGTCCTTTGCCAGCATCATGTGGTAGACCAGGTCCAGATCCTCCAGAATTGGGTACAGGCTGCGGCAATTCTCGGTGAATGCCTTGATCAGCCCCTCCCTTGTTGCGGCAAGTATCATCATCTGGCTTTCCGGGCTTTGCGGGTCCTCCCTCTCCTGTTGAATCCTCAGCTCCGCCACCCTTCTTGTTCTCTCCATCGGCTTCTCCACATATTGGCTCCAGATCTGTGGGTAGCAGTTCCACGTATGTGTATGCTCTGTAGCCCACTTCAAAACCGAGCCAGCCCAGGGCGGCATTTCGAGTCCATTCCCAAAAACCTTGGTGACAAAGTCTTCTTCGATTATGCCATTGAAGTACTGCTGCTGGCCCAACAATCCGCACACAGGCCGACTCAATTGTGTTAGTCGACCAGATGGTGCATGCCAGTTGGTGCAGGCTTGCTCTAATAAGAGCAGCACTTGTGCCCAGTGCGGATTGAGAGTACACGTGGCGTAGCAGCTTGTTCCACTCTGCAAGTCTGAAACGAACTCTGGATGTTGGTGCTCCGCATATGACACGCCACCATGCTCCTGGAGAAAGGAGGAGCAGTTCCCAAAACCTTGGCGTTGTGCCACATCCGACAACGCACTCGAGGTGGCATCCTTCGCGTCTTGCAGCTGTGGTGAGGTAGAAGTCCTCCAGGTCTCGCAAGTGTTCTCTAGATTGCTCACCGTATACATCGAACTCGATGAATAGTTCTTTGTAAGTTGGAAGATTAACGCCGGTGGTTGCCCTATAGACTGCACAGAGTGCAGCAAGCGGTAAGGCAAAGCTCCGCTACCATTTACTCTCAAGACGGGTCGCTTGAGCCAAAATGGTTTGGGGTTTAGGGTTTAGGGTTTACCAACGCGCCGCCATCCTGCTCACGGAACCCAACAGACTGGAATTACGATCCTCATGTCACATGTCCCTCTTTGTCCAGTGTAGGGTGTTGGATTCTCAGGATGAAGTAAACGGTAGGAAATAATTCTTGGCTGCAAGAAGGACCCAAGTGCTAGCTACAGATGGCAACCTGTTGCAGTGCACAGTTTGTATTCTGAGCTATTGAGCTCCCTTCCCTAAACCTTCTGTAGGAAAGCCGCCTTCGGAAGAGAACTCGGAGACCCGCGCTGCGCTGCGAGGAAACATCTCCTTGAGATGTGGCTCTACGACAAGCTTTCAACTCAAGCTGTGGATTCTTACAACAGATGAGAAGCAGTCCTACGCCATTTCAAGCAGGAGGTTAGGCTGAATATGCAGCAAAAGCATACACAACGGGCACACACAACCCTCACAACCTCTGGCCTCCCCCTGAACCCTGAACACTAGTAACCGATAAGTTACAAAGCAAGCAATGTTCGGTAGCAGATCAGAGATCTGGACTGGCAGAGAGAATACGGTGATGCCTGGGCCTCAACCATCGGATGCGGAGTTTAGGGTATATGACAGTTTAGGGTTTAGGGTTTTAGGGTTTAGGGTTTAAGGTTTTTTCATACAGGGACATTCAGGAGATATTGCTGTCACTTTTTCCCCTAAACCCTAAACCCTAATGTGCTTGTTGCCCTTGGACCTTTCAGGAACGGCCAGCCCTGATTCAAGTTTCTCCTGTATAAGCCCTCAAAGTGCTACAAATATCCCAAAGGGTCCAAGTATCATTATGGTATATACTTATAGGGTATTTTGAGGGATCTAAGTATATACCATGATGATACTTGGGACCCTTTGGGTATGACTATCCTGAATACGATCCGATAAGAATAAAGCTCCAGCAGCAGAAACCTTGCAGACCCAACACCCTTAAGCCCTAAGCCCTAAACCCTAAGCCCTAAGCCCTAAACCCTAAGCCCTAAGCCCTAAACCCTAAACCCTAAGCCCTAAACCCCAGGCCATGGAGGGCCTAAAAGCCAGGCTTCCCAAAACACTTTGATGCCATGGCCATGCAGTCCGCCATGTACACCGTGACCTCGGCTCGGCCCCTGTGGTAATATGATGCAAAGGTGAAACATCCCAAGAACCTCCAGGTTTAGGGTTTAGGGTTGATACTTCCGAACGGAGGAGACGGGCTAGCAGCTCGTATCATTGCGAAACTATGCATGTTTGGCTTTGGCATGCCAAGACTGGGTGGCAACAGATTGGTTTTGGTGCTGAGGGCGAGCCTCTGCCGAATTGACGCTGCACGGGGCAAGGATTGACTTCCGCAATACAAAAGCCAAACTAAATGCTGTAGCGACTTGAGCAGACTCACCGTTACCCTAGCCGTTGCTTCGTGGCTTCTTGCATCGACTTACATGAAGAAGTCATAGCCATGGCGCTGAAGTCGAAGATTTTCGCAGCAGCCTTCTTGGCATTGCTGATGGTCTCGCTGAAAGACTGGCGGGGAGAGCATTAAGGCTCAGGTAGTAGGAGCAAACCCAAAACCCATATCAGACCCTACACTGTAAGCCTTTCAGTCCCTAAGCCTTATTGAGTAGGGGACTGCAATGCACTAAGCCCTGAATCCCTTCAGCCAAGCTTCAAACGCCAGCACCTGCGATCCCTAAACCCCAAATAGGGGCAGGATGCCCCCCAGACCCCAACCTTCCAGATCAGCTCTTAGCTGCTCCCGCATGCAATCCCCGAATCGCCCCCGATTCCGAATCGAAATGGCCGCGGCTGAGGATTCTCTACAATGTCATGGGTACAAAAGGGCCTGCACGATATCAAAAACTTGATCGCCTTGATTCTACACAACGCCTCCCTCTTACTGCCATTGTTATTGGAGTGCTATTACTGTGCTACCCTTTGCGCCTGGCGCTTATCGGCAAAAGGTTTCAATTTACAGAGAAAGCTGGCTGCTGCGAGCTCCGCGTTCCCAACAGCACTCCATGTTCTGCTTGCTACGCAGTTGAAGGGTGCATGGGGGCATCCTTAAGGTCTCGATAAGGTTTCAAGGGGTCGGTGTAGTCAATTCGTAGTAGCAGTATCCCCTCGATGACGAATCTCCAAACCATGATTATTGAAATATATGAGGCCCAGGTGCTACGGTTTCTGTGCACTTCTCTAAGTTTGAGGTTTGGTTGCCAAAGTTCTGATTCTCCAGTGCTTAGAGCGTCGGGTTTGTCCGGATTGAGGGGGTAGCGGTTTGTCTGATGAGGATTTATGGGATCCTTTCAGGGGTCCCTTGAGGGTATAGGGATTACTATAAGGGATCCCTTATGTAAGGGTTGAGGCTCTAGAAGGGCGACTAAACCTCCGCCCTGAGGCTGAAATGCCTAGACTAGACCTAAGAGTAACCTAGGAATACGAGGGTGCCCCTTTTGGCCTAACGGGTGTTATACGGGAACCTAAACCCCCCAAAAAGGGAATAAGGGCCTACTCTGGGTCCTCGTAGATGCTTATGGCAGCACTGGGGAAAAGCCACGGGGCCTCAAGCTCCTCTTCGAATGCTATCACGGTTTAGAGTTTAGGGTTTAGGGTTCAGGGTTTAGGGTTCAGGCTTTAGGGTTTAGGTTGCCAGAGTCGCCGACTGGAACCACCAAGTGTAACAGTGCAGGGTATGTTATGACCTGCAGTTGCAGGTGAACTAAACAAACCAGCACCCTCCGAAGCGCAGGTTCAGAGGCAGCTAAGAAAGATGAAGGTGTGCAGCCGCACACAGCTTTACAGCACTGCTAGCATCCTGAAACTGGATGGATACCCAGACTCTCTTGAAACCCTACGAAATCATCACAGAATGCAGCTCCAAGGCTAGTTCAAGAAGCACAGAGGGTCCGAACATGACAAGGAAGGGTCGCAGTGCAACGTTGTAACCCGATCACAAAAGCAATGCCAAGTCAAGTGGCCTTTGGTTGCCAGGACCTCAGGTGGCAGCAGGGAGCGCGAGGCCACATAAACGATAAAAGCGGTAGTACCGTGGAGCAGTTCCTACGCCTGCATGCATGAGCACATACTTTCAGGCGAACTTGAGGAGTTGTGGCCTCCATTGAAACTTTCGAAGATTGCCACGTCAAAGCACTTTGGTGCAACACGTTCGGAAACGGCGCTGTGCAGCTGTCTAGCCGAGTGCTCATCCTAAACCAAACCTTAACCCTGGCCGGGCAACGACGGCGGCTGCGATATCAACCCTTCTTCCGGATAAGCCAATCCGGGCCGCCACTGCCCTGCGGAAATCTATGGGCTGAGGGCTCACATGGACAGCTGACACCGGGCACTTCGCAAACTGTCTCTGCAATGTGCGTTATGTGGTGGTAATAGTTGTAGTCGTCGTCATGGTGCTATTAGTAGCAGTGTTAGTACAGGTGCTAGTGCTTGTACTACTCACTAGTACTACTAGTCCTTGCATAACTAGTAGCAAAACTAGAAGTACTTTAGTTAAGTAGTGGTAGAGACGTCGTCGTCGTCGTGGTAGTAGTAGTAGTAGTAGTAGTAGTAGTAGTAGTAGTAGTAGTACTGGTGGTGGTAGTAGCAGTAGTAGTAGCAGGAGGAGGGGTAGCAGCACCATCAGCAGCATCAGCAGCAGCAGCAGGAGCATGTGCAGCAGCAGCAGCAGTAGCGGCAGTAGAAGTAGCCGTAGTCGTTCGAGTAGTATAGTTGTCGTCGTCCTAGTGGTAGTAGCAGTGGTGATGGTGGTGGTAGTGGTGGTGGTGGTGGCGGTAGCAGTAGCAGTAGCAGTAGCAGTAGCTTTAGCGGTATCTGTAGCTGTCGCTGTGGCTGTAGCTGCAGCTGCGGTAGTGGTAGTAGTAGTCGTCGTCGTAATAGTATTTGTAGTAGTGGTAGGTAGTTGTAGATACAATAGCAGTAGCAGAAGAGCAGTAGCAGTAGCAGGAGCAGTAGAAGTGGACCAAGTAGAAGTAGTGGTAGTAGTAGTAGTAGTAGTAGTAGTAGTAGTAGTAGTAGTAGTAGTAGTAGTGGTAGTGGTGGCAGTAGTAGCAGCAGCATTAGTGGTAGTTGTTGTTGCTGCTGTCGTTTATGTCGTCTGTTGTTCCTTGCATATCTCACTAAGACTCTATAGTAAGCATACACAAGTGCCTGCTGCTTCTATGCTCTACCGTCCTGGCATGCGTGGGGCCGTCTAACCAACCACGTTCTGATATTGAAAGTACGAGTACCGGTCACATCTTTTGACTCCGGGGGTTAAGATTTAAACAAACTCTCGCTCTGACCCAGAAACGCACCCTGCTCCCAAAAGCAACAGTTGCCTTTCGCACGGAAGAGATGCGTTTCGTCTCCATGTCCCTGACCTCGCCACGCATGGATAGATGCCGATGTAGGGGCTTGGGCCAGGGCGTTTAGATCTGTCTTAGGACCTGAAGTGTCCTTGGCAAACTGCGATGGCATAAAGACAGCGCCAAATTAGGGTAATACTGCCGAAGGTTCAGCACAGAATGCAGACAACAGTAGGAAGCTACGTAGCTGCCGCATGCAAAACACAGCCATCAGTGCTGAGAGGCTCCAATGGTGCGATGGTGCACAATCTCTGAGTTCAATCATGTTCTGCAATCTGACTAATGCATTTAGCTTCGAGAAAGTTAAAGCTGAGCAAGTACCGGACATGTGGCTAGGTGCCATTCTGGTCATTTCGTGACAGTGGACCTGGCAGTCCGTAGTATAAATATACGTATGAATAGTTATCAATATCTTGGTGTGTATATACTCATATACATATTTGTATCTACATCCACATCGACTTGTTCACTTCTAAGCACCATTAGCTTTCTAGACAACCAATTACATACCTAAACACAAAGTAGTCTTGCACGATTGAAAAGCAACACCCGGCCTGCGCTGACTGCACGAAGCTGCAAGCTGTCGACAACGAACCCGCCTGGGGGAATCATGAGTGTCAAAGCATAAGTGACCCTCTGATACAAGCGCCTGAACAATTAGAAGAGGGTTTCGGTGTATTTTTACTGTCACATTAGTAAGGAACCCACAGGAATCGTATTGGTAATTACTCCGGCCCCCATGTGACTCTACTTCGAGGGTTTAGGGTTTAGGGTCCCGGTACTTCGACGATTCAGGACCTCTACTTCTAGGGCTTGGGTATTGATAGAACCTAAGTAGTGCGACCCGTCGTTATAGGATAGCCTAGTTTCCTGAAACTTCCATCTCGGATCTGAACATGGGGTTGAAAAGGTACACGACAAGAACAAAACCCGCAACCCTACACCCTGAACCCTCGTGCTTAAAGTGGGGTGTAATGCCAACAATCTTACAGAATCTTACAGACCTCTCGAGTATTGAGCTTTTGATTTTGTTGCAAAGTTTGGGGCTTGAGCGCAACACAAGATAAATGCCAACGCAGTCATGTTACCTGTGCAAACCTTGCTCCTAAACCGCCTCAACCTGAAAGCCTGAAGTGAACAGCATCACGGAGACCAACGCCTCAAGCACAAAACGAGTAACCGAAACGGTTAGATGCCTGACAGGTGCACCTAGATGCACTATGTGTTGCACTATGCTGTGCTCCATTCTGCAATTGCCTGTGCTACTCGTTGCCATGCGTTTTTGTAGCTTTGCATGCTGTATGGCCTACTGGGTGGTCGGTATCCCGCCCGCCAGACCTACAGGAGAAGCCCAAAAGTTGGAAACCCAATAGCCTCAATCCTTCAGAGTCATGTAAAAGGGAATCCCAGCACTCATTGTCCTTAATCAGGTTTCCAACTTTTTGGGGTTCATAATTATCATAAAATATACCCCCAAGCCCTATACTAGTTATGAAGGCCCCTACATCATCCCTAATCAATGTCCAGCCATGTCCAGCCTACGATCCGATAAGGTCCGCAGATTCCAGATGTATCGTCTTCGTAGCGGATCTCGAAGTCGTGGATGCAAATCTGCATTCCTTAGCCATGACTACAGGATACCTCGGTACATATGAGGGCCCTTTTGGGGTCTGTCTTATAGTCTATCTTAGAGGCTTAGAGTGTGTATTCCTTCTAGTTTAGGGACCAAAAGGGGCCCATAAGTTTGATCAATACCCATGTAATTCACTGCAGCCATCGTCGTATAATCATTACGCACAGCAGAGTTCTTTTGAGATTGACAATGCCTAGCCTAGCAGGGTATTGGCTCGACAAGCATTGGCAGGGTATACACTTGGGCACCACCAGATCACGCGAATGACCAAACGATCGGGAATACTTCAGGTCCCACAAAGCTTCGCTGCAGTACCTACGGCAGGACGCTTCAGCTCACCTGGAGGACTGCAGAGGCAGATAGGATTCGGTAGAGCAAAAGGAGGCGTCGTGGGTTTTCCTTCAAGCCCCGCGTCGAGAGCAGCAGCCCAAGTGGATCGCAGCAAAGCCCCAAGCTATGTTTGTCTGCGTCTACGTCATCTAAACATTTCCTTAACAAAGTCTCTGGGTTCAGTGCCGGTTGGCGCCGGGCTCTGCCCTGCAGACCCTGACTCTCAACCCAGGCTTCCACAGACAGCATCAAGGGGCCGTTATTGAGAATGTCTCTCAGCAACTTTGTCAGCTTCCGGCGGATCCAGCTTGAACCCACCTTGTCGCATCTTTGGGAATTCTGCCATTTTGGGGTGTTTGGGGTTTAGAGGCAGATCACCGCCATCATTCTGCTAGTGCCATGATCACGTACATCTGTAAGTTGACAAAGCAAACCTGGATGCACAAGTGCTGCAGCATGGTGCCGTGGAAATCGGGTTTACAACACAAACATCCGCACGAGTGAGGAACATGAGGGGCCCAGAATCTTGATAACCAACCCTAAACCCTATACCCCAGCGAAATCTTTATAACCAGCCCCACCAAATTCGACCCTGAAAACCACCTGTGTCTGGTGCCGAACACTGCCTTGGGCAGCCTTGTCCTGCGAACACTCTGGCTCTGTCAGGGTTCTGTGGGGGTTCCATGCTGCTAAAGTGTTCTGTAACCCTAAGGGTCCAAGTACCCAATTCTCATATACTCTCAAAAATAGAAACCTACATAACTACTATCCCAAACCCGAGTACCCAATTATTGAGTCCTTTGGACCCTTAGGGTAAGGGTTCTACAGGATTTCTACAAGGGATCCATACAGGTTCCGTGACAGTTCAAGAATGGCTGCTTAAAGTTGTATACATGTTCTACGTTCTGCAAGGGTATGAGGGTTCGACGAATCCTTCGTAATAACGATTCTACAAGGGTTATATAAGGGTTCGGTACGAAGTCTATAAGGGTTTGTGTTCGGTAAAAGCTCTAGACAGGTCATTTGAGGATGCTACAATAGAAGTACTGCAACGGCTGCGCTGGAGCCGAAAAGGGTTGACCAGGGTTCGATAAGGGGTCGTTCCTGTAAGACAACGAACACAAACACACCAAAACCACCAACATAACCACTAACGGCACAACGACAACCACAACCACAACTACAGGGCAAGGACAATGATGGTTACAAGGAGTATCAAGAACAACAATAGTCCAGGCCGGCCAGCTCTAAACCCCTCGTTAAACCCTGTAGGCTCCATAGTGGTTCATTTTTCGGGTTCATAATTAGAACCCTATAAGGCAATGCCAACAAGGAACTACTATGGAGCCTATTGGTAAGGCCCAACAAGAATCTGTTTCCATGTCCTCTGGGCCTTTGTCTTTCTTGCGAGGCTTGGCCTGTGCCAGGGATCGAGCCGGTGAAAGTTTTGGCTAAGAGCTTGAGTTTGGGCGCTTGTGGTGAAGGGTGCCGACCCACGGAAAAGCTCTTTTACCTAGACGCCCCACTTGTCACATGTTCACGGGGTCTTGGCACTTACCGTTCGTTCCCTGGGCAAGGACACCCTACAACTAGATGGCAGCATCATCAACGTTTTGGACGGTTTCCGTCACAGAAGAGCAACCAGTCGTTGCTGTGACTGATCGTAGTTGGAGGGACACGAAGCCGCCTTGATAGAATTCAGCAGGCATGGAAAAGCTGCATGTCATCCCCAAAGTTTGTAGTTCTTGCCAGGAGTATGCTCAATGCCGCAATGCCATTTCTTTGTCTGACCATAGTTGTTACCTTTGCCGGTCATTTCTGTCCATGACACTCCTGGCACCAGCACTGTCGTTAGCATCCACGCACCGCACCTCCCTACCGTCCCTGTAACTACAACAAATCTGACTACGCAGCCGGCTAGTCACTGTGCAATGCTGTAAACCTGGTAGAATGAAGTTGAGCTCCTCAAAAAGGATATGTGCTTTACTCCACCCTAAGCCTACACAGATCACAGGAGCTTCTAACAACTTTACGCGGCTGAACCCCTCACACCAACAGTTTATATGGCTCTGGAGCCCGTGAGAACGAGACAAACATAGCTAGACGTCGTTTAATCCTTAAGACCACAAGCCTTGAGCCCCAAAAAATCCATTAGAGGCCTAACAACACACTCCCTTGAACAGCCTATTCCAGCCCATGACCCGTGCTACACCCTGAAAGAAACTCTAAAACCGCACACGCACACACATATCTTGGAAGCCCTTTAACGCGTTGAGCCTGCGAGTCGTGTTCTGACCTGAAGCCAACCAAAATTGTAGGTTATGATCCCTGTAATAGAAGGTATGACCCCTGAAACAATAGGCTTTTGGACTCCTAAACCTTCCTTATACCCCGGGCATCATGAACGTGGATGATAATGAGGACTGTAAGAAAATAATACAACTACCCCTGCTTGAAATCAGCCCTCAAGCCTAAACCTGAACAATATCTCCGTGCATATTGTGACATCCAAGGAGCAAAGGGCTCGATAGCCTTGCACGCCAACTTCACGGTCTTGCCTGGATCGTTGAAAAGGGCTTTAATGTTCGGGCTACTAAAACAGTATTCTGGATATTTGGTCTTCACGGGGTTTAGAGCCGCATACAATTCATGCTTTTTGGGCGCCAAAACGATGTTTTTTTGTTTTAAAGGGTTTTGTGCGATTTAGAAAGCCTCATAAAGCCATCTGTTTAAAAAAGGTAGGACCAGGTAGGACCACATGGGAAACTTTATGCCGAAACCTTTGGCTGTTTCAGCTTAAAGGGGCTTCAAGGTTGAATTTAAGGGGCTCAAAAGTTGATACAGTTGATGCATTACCTTAATGACCCTAAACTGTGGGAATTATGGTATGTTCCTTACTATGGATAATGCAGGAGTGTTTTCTTTTATCATCAACCGTATTCACGAATAGGCAACCCTATAAGGCAAAAGCGCAAAGCTCCGGAAGAGTCGGGTCGATCTTTGAGGGCCCCCCCAAAGCTATCTACAAACATGTACATACGGGTACCCTAATGTACGGGATTTAACTAGGGGTTTAGGGTTTAGGGTGGGGTATTGTAGGAACAGTAAGTTAAGTGCTTGTTCAGGCTTCTAGATGACCTCTCTAAGACCATAGGGAAGAGTCGCAAAATTTTAAACGGCTACCTAGCTGCTTTTGGAGGCCAAGACATCCTCGAAGTTCCAATCGGCGGCACGCTCCTGACACGGAACTCGGGTTTAGGCTTCTAGAGGGCGAGGGTTTTCAGGGTTGAGGGTGTCGGCTTTCAGGGGTTCGGATTTAGGGCATCTGTCGATACTAGCACAGACTGTACACGGGGAGCTGCCACCTCTGCACCCTAAATTCTAACACTCAACTAGAGAAGGGTGCCTTTGGGTCCTAGCTATGAGGCTGCAAGCCGTCATCGTTTTGAGTAAACCCCAAAAGCCAGGTCTAGGGCTATTACTGGGGCCGAATGTTCAAAAGGGTTTGAGGTAAATAAGCACAAGGGAACCATCAGGGAGATGCTATTGGTAATGAGGTTTTGGTGTTTATACTATAATCACCAGAGAACTATGGTGATACTGAGGTACGTTTACCAAGTTTCTGACATCTGTGTCCACCACTTGATTTGCATATCTGGTGGCCAAATAAACATCGAAGTCTCAAACCACAAATCCACGGCCTGGCGCTAAGCCAAGGCCCCAAAGGCCTGAACCATGAACTCCTGAAGCCAGTAGGGGTAAACCCAATCGTGAAACCCTTCTGAACATCCGCAAATAAATAGCACAACCTTCAAAAACCCTCAGAGAGCTTTACAAGGTCCTCATGAAAACACTTAGAACAACTCTTTTAGAACCTTCACAGAACCCGCTTCTTAAAGGCCCCTTACCCTGCCTCACCGCGACCCGGCCCCACGACGAGGATCACATTCTGCATGAAGACCATGAGGCGATGATGGCCCATCTCAGGTTCAGGTTGAAAGTTTATTTTTTTTTAATGCCTTATTCCGCACCGAAAGACAGAGAGCAGAGTTGCGGTCAGGGGCTTAGGGTTTGAAGGGGTTGAAGGGGTATAGGGGTTTCGAGGCTTTTGCCCAACTGCTTAGCTGACTGGGTCCTTTAGGATTTTAGGGTTTCGGGATGATGGCCCACCTCATGAAGCTGATAGTTTTCGGGTTTTTAGTCGTGGCTTTAACTAAGGTTCGGGGCTATCGGGTTTTGCAGATGGTGTAGATTGGTTTTCATGGGCTTTGGGGTGAGTTTTGTCTCCTCATAGGCTCCACACCCGCCAGCAGATCCCTAACCTTGAACGCCAAACCATGAGCCTAAACCCCAAACCCTAAAGCCATAGGCTCGCGGACTGCAGAACGACAATCTCATTTTGAGTACCCCTCTGCGCTTGCAGCACAACCTTCACGAATAAGAACTCTTCAGCAGCACTTAGAAGCAAAAGGCCAGCTCACTTCAATCAACCCTACAAGCCCAACAAATCCCTCACAAACTCTACGAAGCCTAAATCCACCCAATATCCCTCAAACCCTCAAAGCCTCCTTATTAAGCCTATAAATCCGTAAACAAGCTCCAAAAGACCCCTCGAACTCCCCCAAACCTTTAAAACCTTAAGCCCGTATTAAAGCCTAAACCCTTATAAGCCTGAACTCTGAACCCTTAAGCCTAAACTCCTTTAACGAACTCCAAAAGACCCGAAGTTTGCCCAACTTCAACTCGAAGTGGACCATGTCAAAGATGCCAGCGGTCAGGTTCCTTGGGCTAAGGCGCGATGGCAGACTGTTTGGGTTTAGGGCTTCAGGGTTTAGGGGTTTAGGGGTTGAGGGGTTTAGGGCTTCAGGGTTTGGAGGGTTGGGATTTAGGGGTTTAGGGGTTGAGGGGTTTCGGGTTGAGGGCTTTAGGGTTTATAGGGGTCAGGGCTTCAGGGTATGGGGGTTTGGGATTTAGGGGTTGAGGGGTTTAGGGTTGAGGGCTTTAGGGTTTAGGGCAGGGTTTGGGGGTTTGGGATTTAGGGGTTGAGGGGTTTAGGGTTGAGGGCTTTAGGGTTTAGGGGTTAGGGCAGGGTTTGGGGGTTTGGGATTTAGGGGTTGAGGGGTTTAGGGTTGAGGGCTTTAGGGTTTAGGGGTTAGGGCAGGGTTTGGGGGTTTGGGATTTAGGGGTTGAGGGGTTTAGGGTTGAGGGCTTTAGGGTTTAGGGGTTAGGGCAGGGTTTGGGGGTTTGGGATTTAGGGGTTGAGGGGTTTAGGGTTGAGGGCTTTAGGGTTTAGGGGTTAGGGCAGGGTTTGGGGGTTTGGGATTTAGGGGTTGAGGGGTTTAGGGTTGAGGGCTTTAGGGTTTAGGGGTTAGGGCAGGGTTTGGGGGTTTGGGATTTAGGGGTTGAGGGGTTTAGGGTTGAGGGCTTTAGGGTTTAGGGGTTAGGGCAGGGTTTGGGGGTTTGGGATTTAGGGGTTGAGGGGTTTAGGGTTGAGGGCTTTAGGGTTTAGGGGTTAGGGCAGGGTTTGGGGGTTTGGGATTTAGGGGTTGAGGGGTTTAGGTTTGAGGGCTTTAGGGACTAGGGTCAGGGCGTTTCGCAGAGTAACTACTAGTAGGGTTTGGGATTTTGGGCAGAGACTTTTTTCGGGGCTCTGGGCAGAAGAGGAGTGGGAATTCTGGAGGTGTCGGCTTTGCGGATCAACTAGGGTGTGCGATGCTGGATTGGGTGCTCTTGCCGGCGGTTCGAGATGTGTCACAGAGACCGAGCTGCTTATACGTAACTGCACTTGCTGAGGTGGGGGCAGGTTTTGGCATTCTCTGCCCGCAGGCTCCGGCTGGCCGCGGTCGGCGCGACAAAGCTTCGAGAAGGCAGCTTAAACAAAGATGGTGCAACAGCGCGACTTCTCGTAAACAAGGTCTGGGCAAGAACGGCAAACCCCCGCCAAAAACGACACACAAGCACCCCCATCGAAGCTCAATTCCACTGCCAGCCAAGGTGCAGAGGCAAGTGGAGGTTGGTTAGCCTGGCAGCATGGCACGGTTTCGCCCAGGAGCAGCTGGGCGAATAGGGCACGGAGCTAACCAAATCATCCCAAGGCCTACCTGTACCCTGGGAACCCTGAACACGCCCAAAAACCTCGCAGACGCAGAATGGACTGCGGACCGAAGGAAGCTCTCCACGAAAGGCAAAGCGACCATCGCTCATGCAGGAGTTGTCGTCACTAGGACCATTAGTTTTCCAATTGCCACAAAGCTGTATAAAGTGGCGGGTAGTCTTGTTTATGACAGGGGGGATCAAATCGGCCCTTTTTCTATTACAATAAGGAGACCCCCGACAAACGGGGCCCGACGTTTTGGAGCCGCCTTCCTGCCTCGCTTGCACAAACTCCGCCGGCAACCTCTCAACTATCAGCAGAACAAAAATCGCCCCTGAAGAGATCATACCCAAGCTATAAGTCCAGGATAGTTAGAATTTAAATCATCAAGGCGTGGGTACACACGGAAGCAAACGAACACTCCGCTGGTTGAACCCGAACGGGTAGTACGACAAGCTGTTAAGACTCCCATTCTAGAATCTAAAGCCCTTTTGTGGCAGGCTTCTCTCGCTCGGGACAATCTATGAACCCTAAGCCCGAACTCTTGAGATCCCAACAGATCAACCAGAGCTCCGGGAAGCATACAGTCTGAGGCCTATAATGCCTATAACTCTGTAACAAGACTAAGATATCCTGAACTGAGCACCCCCCAAGCATGGCCTCTTGGAGCGAATCTGAGCCTTCTCCAAGTGAAGAATGCCTTCCAGGTGTGCGGCGTCGTGTACATACAGGGGCTCTTCATTTTAAGTCTTGGGATTAGGGATCAAGGGCCGAGTTCAAGATTTCAGCCTCCAAGGGCCGTTGAGCTTGCACCGCCTTCAGTGGCAACGGGGCAACTGTAAAGCTGGGTGTCATACCTAATAACGCCTTCTAGGTTACCATTGGTTCTGCGGGCAACTGTCTAACTACTTATACAGAGAGATAAACGGAGAGAGACATTGCACACACACACACACACACATATATATATATATATATATATATATATATATATATACATATACAAACATGTGTGTACGCGCTACATAGGCTAAAAGTGTTACGTGCATGTGTATATATATATATATATATACACATATACACACACATGCATCTATATACAGGCATATATACGTATCTACACAATATGAAATGCCATATTGACATGATACATACAGACATGCGCAGATAACGTTCCACATAGGTTTGTATATATATATATATATGTATATATATATAGAGAGAGAGAGAGAAAGAGAGAGAGAGAGAGAGAGAGAGAGAGAGATAACACCCTGCGCCCCAAACCCGAAAACACTTATCTCGCTCTTAATCCCACAAGAACCCTCGTTCTCGTGGACCCCTTACAGAAGCTGATTTCAAACCCCGAAGCCCTAAACCCTGCCTAAAGAGGGTTGGATCTTCATGTTCTCGGCAGGCATCAGGAGGAAGTCTACCAGCTGCTTCCTTCCCACAAGTGACAGGGTTAGGGCCCAGGGCTTGGGGTGCTACTTGGGATTTGCTGTTTGAGGCTGAGGGCTTAGAACTAAAGGATTGGATAATTTGTGGTGTAGGCCTAAATGGTCATAGTTACTCCGGCCCCTCATCTTAGGCGCCCAGCGCTTGCACTCGGACTCTCCAGGCGAAGCATAGGTCAACTCGCTCTGTGGAAGTAGGTGTCAAACCGGCAGTGTAACGGAGAGACTGAGAGTTTACTCTGTTGGGTTTTGGAGGTCTGGATCCATGTGAAGCTGGAGCAACCTCGGAATCAAGCATGCTTGAAGTGGATGTCTTGTGCACGCATCTGATGCTGCACTGATCGCACGAGAGGCGTGCAAGCTCTGCGTTCCGGCTGCTTGCCTGACCAAGTGGTCGAAGAGCTTGTCGACACCCTTGTTGATGCGGCCTTTGATGCCACCTGCGGCACACACACACACACACTAATGAAGCCGAGCAGAAACGCAACGGCTGTCTCTAAGGCTGGTGATATGGGTCTTCAGGACATGCAGTCGCAAACGGCCTCGACCAGCAAAAAAGGTGAAGAAGCCGCGAAAGACACGAAACCTCGGACATGTGCCGCAGGCAGCTAAATCCGGCATATCGTCTGTTTCATATAAACACGGTCGAGACGTAACGAAACATGGCACAAGCATGGTACTTCGGCTGGAGGCCTCTGCTGAATACTCCGTCGATGATGCACGTCAGTGTCAGCAGGATGCTCTACATGTTTCAGTACTTTCAACATCCAACACGCTGCAACGAGGTGCGGAATCTTTGCATGGGCTCACTCCGCCACAGCTATCAAACAAACGCATCTCTGCATTTTTGCAGCTATACACTCGAGAAACGGTCACACTCCATCTCTATTCGGGCACCTGCAGGTACGTGTGTAAGTGCATGTCTACACATGGCCATCAGCACGTGTACGTGCGAGTGGGCAAGTGTCCTGTGCCTAGTGCGAGATCGTATCGCATTAGCGCAGAACTCCTCAGCCTCTCAGCCCCGCACACTCGCAGCACAGGTCCTCGGCAGGACAAGTAAAGTCACTGACAAGTTACTGCCGGCGTCTAAACCTACGACGCTCTGTTGTCCGGCGACAAGCGAAATCTCAATTATATAAGCCAGACAGTCGGTCTTGGAATCCGAAACCCCGAAACCCTGTATGGAATAAAGAAACCTTAACCCCGATAAAAGGAACATCAAATGAAACAGTACTGTATCTGATATACTCTATCTCTATCTGGTATACTGTAATTTGTTGTCCTATTCTCACATTTCATGACATTCTACCACATTCGGATTGTAATAGAACTCGGTACCCTCGTCCCCATTAGTGGGAGTAAATAGTCAATTATTTCAGTATGACTTCAGTAGAATACTCCCTACCCCATATAGACCCTCTTATAATGAAGCCCAATAGGGTAGGGATATCCCCAAAACTGCTTATGCTTATGTGCGTTTTGGGTCCCTAAACATTACTTTGTAAGCAAAATCGAGCGGCGGATGGTGCGACCCAGGGAGGCCCCCGGCTGCCGGGGACCCGAGGCGGCGGAGCTAAGCCGGTCCTTTTCAGAGGACGTGGGGCCTTATTCATTAGAGTAGGGTTTGGGTTTAGGGTTTAGGGTTTGGGTATATTAGGGCATATTATACTAGATAGTTATAGTAGGGTTCTATATTATTAAGGGCCTTAATACTTAGAGAAGGCTCGCTTTGCGTTGAAGCATTCCGGTTTGAAGATGTTTGAAGGGAATTTTATGTAGGGCTTGAGAGCATCATGCGGGCGGAGACTGGGGCTTCAGGCTTGTGAGGTTTAGAGATCTTCTCGTAGGATTCAGGGTCGCGCTGTCGCAAGTTCCCCCCAAGTGCTTTTGGGCGTCGGGTGGTCTTTAGGAAGTTTGCGTTTGCCAATGTCTTCAAGAGTTTAATCCAGGTCAATGTCCCTTACTCAGGGGTCAACACCAAGGAACCCGAACAGTCGTTCCGGCTCATTTGCAGTACAACGACGGCTCGGCTTTTCGGGACAACCTGGGGACAACTGTCGGGTTCTAGCAGGGTTTGAAAGGGCTTCTAATGCCGGAGGTCCAGGATTTAGTGTTCAGGGGTTGCAGGGTTCCGATAAAGGAGTCATCCTCAAAAGGGGCCCTCCTAGGATTCAGGAAGGCTCCAACTTCACTAGCACAACGGCCGAACAGCCTCTGTAGCTCGAAACCTTGAAGAGCCTGTGCTGGAAACAGCGCCCATGCCTCGATCTCCACGATGACGGAAATAAGGCCAACGATGGCGACTGCGAATTCGATCCTGTTTGGGGGCTCAGGCACTGTGGGTTATGATATCTGATATATGTGCAATCCGCAGCACCATGATGCAAAACGTGATGTCATCATCTCACTCCGAGGGGTCCCAAAAGAGAGAGAGAGACAGAGAGAAAGACAGGCATGGGGAGATAATAAATTTGTAAACTATGTATATATATATATATATATATATTGATTGCAAAAACAACATAGAAGAGAAACTTGTGGAGAGAAAGAGAGACGCGTGCTTTCGGCCGAGTTGAAGTTGTGATGAAGCACAGGGTTGTCTATGACCCCTTGCCTGATGATTGGCACAAGGACCGCAATCAGACACATACCCGTCAAGACCAACATGCGAGTTCACGACTGGTGCAAATGGGCTGATGGCGACTACGATGGTGACGATAGTATGGGTGGTGAAGCCGACAATGTTGATCGTTCCCGCGCACAGGGGTCAGACGTCTCCTTGCTAGCGCATGTCGACACACATGTGGTTGCACTTGCGGTGGCGATTCTGACCGTTATGAATTATGCTGCGACAGGCGTGAGGGAAGTGGATTGACACTCGAACCACCGTCATCAACATCTTCATTAACCTTCGCTGACCGCATCAACACTTCATCACCATCGCCACGTTGGTCATCAACAACACAGTGCTCACAATTATCGTCACCATGGAAGCCTAATAAATCACACCCACGGTTGTCACGCAGCGTCAACCGAACAACTAGCATTGACTCGCAATTACTTTTTGTTTTTACCTTCCTTTGGCTTACATGGCGAAGCATTACTTGTGGTCGCGGTGTTGATCGGCAGTAGTAGTTAGTTGCGCAGTATTCACCGTTGTGCGGCAGTGGTAGCACTATTCGCAGGAGTAGCAGAAGCAGCTGCTCTTGTCAGTCGGCAGCAGCAGTAAAGAACCTTTTGACTTGACAACTAGGACGCGAACGAATGCCATCAAGGAAAAGATAAACACACAACAGGGTTACTCATACCATCAACACACAGTCTCACATCCTGAACCCTTAACCGAACTAAGACAAAGCGCTCAAACGCCTTGTGTCATGCATGCCGTGCTGTAGCAACAGTGGCGGCAAAGAAGCAAGACAACATTCGCCTTCACCCCCGAAGCCCGGCAGCCTGCAAAATATGTCTTCTAGCCGTAATCCTACACTAAACTAAACCTCGGATCTCGAAGGTCTCCAAACCACCTGGGTGAACAGCAGCAAGAAGGGTGCGAGACAAGGCGCCAATTCAGCGCATTAAAGAAAAAACGCCGTCCGTCCTGACAGGGGGCGGAGTTGTCGGAAGAATGGAATCTCGGGTGTGTAGCCTTGGGGCGAAAGCTCGTGTTTCATGAAGGTGGTCACTGCGCAATTGCAAGTGGGACTGCTCGTTTCAACGTGGCCAAGCACAAAAGGCTCTAGTGCTAGGTACGGACACAGACAGCCTGATATCAGGATCAAGTGCATAACAGTCCTTCGCAAAAGGCACTGCAGAAGCAAGGAGCAAGCGCACACACACACACACATACATACATACATACGCTCTCGCTCGCTCTCTCTCTCTCTCTCGCTCTCTCTCTCTCTCTCTCTCTCTCTCTCTCTCCCTCTCTCTCCCTCTCTAAGGCTTGAAATGGCAGCAGATCAAAAAAGTCTCTAGATGTTACCCTACATGCCCCGAACCAGTGCCTCCACTACACATGGCAGCGACTACAGCAACGGGTTGGACTAAGTGGTCCCAACTCACAACGCATCCGAGACCGCTCGAGAACGGGCATGCATCTTTCCTTCTGGGAGCGGCTCACTTCAAGACGCCTCCAGACCAGATGGCCAGCCACAAGAAAGTCGAGGCTAGCCAAAGAAGTTCGATGAGCTGCTACATGTCCCATGTAGCTCTCCGACCAGCAAGCTGATCAACCCCATTAAAGCCCGCTGTCTTTTCGACAGCGCCATAAAGAGCACAACCACCAAACGTGTAACTAGTCATCAACAGCTTTGCATGTTGTTAGCGTCCTGTGCAGTCTCAGCCTCAGCGGCCGGTTGCGAGCCGCCGACGTCACAGTAAGCACGATACTGCGCGAAGGTGAAAGGGCATCTCATGGATGTGCCCTGACTGCGCAGCCTGGAAGCCAAAGCTTCGACGAAGCTCCGCTGCGGGCCCTTGGCCATTCGCCGACATCCCAGAGCACGCCCCTTCGGTCGCAGGTTGGCCTCAGGTTCCCCAGATCCTTCGGGCCTGTTCCGTGCGGCCTGGACTAGAATAGAGAGCTCCTGCACAGATCGATTCAGCAGGCCAACGGGCTCGGTCGCCAGCTCGGCATAGCGAAAAGGCTGCAGCAGGCGCATCTCTGACAGCATCTTTCGGCGTAAAGCGAAGCCCTGGCTCGGTGCCTCATCTCGGCTTGGCCCGGACAGCGCTGATTGGCCTTCAGCCTCCTTCTGAGATGCATCTCGGGAGTTAGCTGCCCAAGGAACTGGTCCCGACCTTGCCGGCTCCCCAAAGCAAGTCGGCTCCATCAGCTCTTTTTGACCCAGAGGGCACTCGCCACCCTGCATGTGCTGCAAGAGGGCTGGGATCTGCTCAAAAATGCGGTCCGTTGTGCAGAAGCTGCACATCATGTATGAGAGTCCTTCCCTGGAATCTTCGACTGGAATGTACCGAATTTGTTGTGCCCGTCCGGTCGACCTTTTGCACTCGGCAGGCACATCTATGGTCTGTGCACTGGCCATCTTCATGTGAGGCTGCAGGCGTTGGTACCTTCGGCTGCCCTGGCCCCGTCCCCCATTGCCAGTGCCAGTTCCGCCACTTTCTGTCTTTTTCCATAAGGAGCGTCTCGCCAGTTGAGTCGACGAGGCAGGCAGGGATTCGTCCAAAGCTCCTGGAATTGTCTCAGCCTCCGATTCCTCGTCAGCCATCACGCAAACAACGGCACCTAGCTCGTGGCGACGACACAGTGTCGCATGCGAACATAACCAAGACTCATCTTTCCTGGATATCTATTCTGTCTGTTAGAGACCATGGTGACATGTTTGCGTCGTGTTGATTCATCCCCTCTCGAGCCAGAAGAGGGCATGGACAGCAGTCCTGAATCCTTCGAGCTAGAAAGCATGTTGTGATGCAAGCTTTCAAGATCAAACAGCAACCGTGCAAGGCAGAACACCCTAAATCCTACACAAGACTTACGGTGCAGACCAAGCGGAAGCGAGGACAGAGGCGCATCACAGCGGCGAAGAAGCACATAAATAGCTCGCGCCTTCGTGATGCGAAGGACGACGTCCACGACGAGGACGAGAAGAACACTCGCTCCTGTCGGATTTAGACATAGCATGACATAGAAGCTTTATTCGGTTTGGGGTTTGGTTTTAGCCCCGGGGTTTTGACGTGTGTTGCCTCGTCCGCCGGCAGATCGCCATCTCTCGACAAAGATTGCTCTTGCCGGCACTTTGCCAGACGGGTAATGCTTTGGTGCAACTTCTTGGAATATCAATACTTGCAGGGACCGGCACAAAACTGATGCACATAGTCCCTGTTCCTGCGATACCCCCAATCCCAGACCCTTAACCCCATCATAACAAAGGATGGGTTTGCTGCACCCCCACGAAGCTCAAAACAGGCAAGTGATCCGAATCCATCCCTCCAATCTTGTGGACTTCAAGAGTGCTTTAACAAGAAACAAGCCACGTCTCTGTTTATGCTGCTTCTCAACATCAAGTTCATGGTCTGGATGGATAGGATAAAAATGTACAGCTTTATTCCTTATTGGATTTAAGCACGCATAGAAATATAAAATGTTACCCAACTATGACAAAGACATGGTATCCTAGGCCTTGTCGAAAGCCTGAAGACGACCACTAGACGACCTCATCCCTCCCTGCATCACCTTCGGCGCGCGCCTGCTAAAAAAAGGCCCAGCGAGTCCGACTCTTCTGGGGGAAGGATGAAACTGGCGACCGTCAGGCCTTGGCGCATGTGAAGGGATGCCAAAACATCTTAGTACTGCTTGAGCCGGCTGGAGCCACTCCTCATCTAGAATCCACTGCAAGCCAGGAGAAGCCTAAGCTGCAGCAGCGTGAATGTTTTCCTGTAGATACATGGTGTTGAAAGATTTACCTCGCGAAGGCGCGATCACGATCACCAGTCGTGCTCCCACGACGAGACACGAACATGCCCAAAGTCGAGCACTCAGGGTCACTTGCCCTTCATTGCCTATTCCAATGTCTCGCAGTAACAGAGTCGAAAATCCTGCGGCCGCCTGTGGCCCAGGCCCATGTCGATGCATATCGCAATGGTCACAATTATCTCCCATATAGCTGACTCCTTAGCCATCGCACTGGTGTTCCGAGGGCACCAGGACAGACTCGATCTCAAAGCAGCAAGGACCAAAACCAGCCATCAGTTTCAGCAATGTCTGCGACTGGAGAGACAAGCCCCCGAAGTCTCTTCGGAATCAATGCTGCAACTCTTTCTCGGTGTGCTGACTGCTGAAGGTGGCAAGAATGACTACGCAGAAACTCGGGTTGAAGACTTTGCTGACCATGTCGTGATGTCACAAGCGCATCACCGACCTTTCGGTTTGCCCAGTGGCTCTAATACATCGCGAAAACATACAAAAAAAACAATACAGACAAACTTTATCCACCATTCGTCATCGCTGTTTCACTGTTGGCCGTAGAGATTGGGAATCCCGATCAACAAAAACAGGAATTGGGTGCCTGCACGTCTTTGGTGGAGAGGCAAGACCATGACTCTTAAAATGCTGCTGCCACCTTCATGATCAAGAACCAGCATCACCATCATGATCATCGCCGTCAAAGTCGCCACCATCATCATCATCCTGATCATAATCATGAGACAATGAGAAGCATGCATCATCATATAGATCTACATCATAATCCTCATCATCGCTGGTATCGTCGCCGTCCCAACCTCCATCGACATGGCCGCAGCGAAAACAGCGTGAGAAACACGGCATCATCTGCTTCGTCTCGTGACGCCATGTATAAAACGCGCGTGTGTGTGCACACATGTTGCTACACATACATAGATACATAGAACAGATAAACACCTCATATATATATATATATATATATACTATATGTATATTTGTATGTGTTTGTTTACTTGTTGGTCTATCTGTCTGTTGTTTATACACATGCATACAGACAGACGAACATGCGCATAAACATGCATACATACACACATACATGATGCTATGAGATACAACCGAATTCCGTGTCATCGCCCTCGCCATGATGACAAGAGTCTTCCTGGTGGTGGTTGTGGTGGTGGTGGTGGTGCTGCTGCTGCTGGTCGTCGTCATTACTGTCGTCGTCATCGTGGTCGTCATCGCCCTCCTCATCCGGCTCCGCGCTTTGGTTGTGAGTGCTTTCGTGAGAACACAGCCAAAACGGTCAGGCACCAACACGTAACTAGCCCCGTCACAGGGTCCAATCGGGGCTCGATGATTTGAGTTTGCAGACAGAGGGTTGCGGGAATTGCGGTCAGTGTAGCTCTGCAGCCTCCAGCATGACATAGTGTGCCCCGCAACTCTGATCAAAATATTGAGGCCATCAAAACATCGATGACAAATGCCGAGCTTATAACTGCACTTCTGAAACTTATACGCATCCTCTTCCTCAACTTGTGCCATGTGAAACATGTGGTAGATCTTTCATGTACTTACTAAAAGAGATTCCCTCTACCTACGAAAGCAAGCCCAGAGAACAGTGGCCTGCGAGCCCTGACCTCACTTGTGAAAACCTTCCGCAAGCGAGAAGAAACGAGTGCATGAAAACTGGCAACTCTGATTTCGAAGATAAACTTCGACGTGCCAAGCCGTGCGCTGGCCAAGGCTCGACAATAAGCACTGCTCGACCGCGGCAATTCGTTGCCTCGGGGTTCTCTGTAATCCAGTGCCTCAGCAAGAAAGAACCCGAGACTTCTTAACCCAAGGAGTTCCTTGAGGGATTCTCTTCTGCGTGTATGGGCTGGGAGAGGCTCGGAAAACAATCTGATAGTGCTTTAGCAGTGCTACGTGCCTTTGCTAATACTTCCACGCACGTCCGCGGAGCAAAAACCTTAGAGTGACAACACGAGGCAGAAGAATACCAAGTTCGATCTATGCTTATGGTGACGATGCAAAATGAAACTCGAGATGATGATGATGATGATAATGATGATGATGATGACCGTCATAGTGCTGATGACGATGGCGACAATGATGGTGATGATGATGATGATGGTGATGGTGCTGGCGCTGTGGCGGTGATGGTTGTGGCGGCGGCGGTGGTGCTGCTGCTGCCGTTGCCTGTTTTGTGCTTTCCATCTGCCGTCTGTGATTGCGGGCTGTAGCTGTTGTGGTTGTGGTTGTCGATGTCGTCGTTGTTGTTGTTGCTGCTGCCGTTGCTGCTGTTGATGTTGCTGTTGCGTTTGCGGTTGTGGTTGCTGTTGTTGTTGTTGTTGTTGTGGTTGTTGTTGTTTCTGTTGCAGCTGCTGGTGTTGATGTTGTTGTGGTGGTGGGGTTGTTCTTGTTGTTGTTATCGCGTTTGTTCTTGTTGTTGTTATTGATGTGGTTGTTGCTGTGTTGGTGGTGGTGGTGGTGGTGGTGGTGGTGGTGGTGGTGGTGGTGGTGGTGGTGGTGGTGGTGGTGGTGGTGGTGGTGGTGGTGGTGGTGGTGGTGGTGGTGGTGGTGGTGGTGGTGGTGGTGGTGGTGGTGGTTGCCGTGGTGGTTCCCGTGGTGGTTGCCGTGGTGGTTGCCGTGGTGGTTGCCGTGGTGGTTGCCTTGGTGGTTGCCGTGGTGGTTGCCGTGGTGGTTGCCGTGGTGGTTGCCGTGGTGGTTGCCGTGGTGGTTGCCGTGGTGGTGGCCGTGGTGGTGGCCGTGGTGGTTGCCGTGGTGGTGGCCGTGGTGGTGGCCGTGGTGGTGGCCGTGGTGGTGGTGGTGGTGGTGGTGGTGGTGGTGGTGGTGGTGGTGGTGGTGGTGGTGGTGGTGGTGGTGGTGGTGGTGGTGGTGGTGTGTTGTTGTTGCTGCTGTTGCTGTTGATGTTGCTGGGGATGGCGGTGGCGGTGGCGGTGGCGGTGGTTGTGGTGGTAACGCTGGTGGTGCTGGGGGCGGTGGTGGTGGTGTTGTTGGCGTTTGTGTTGGTGATATCACGGATCTGCTGACGATGACCAACTACGACTGCTAGTGTGGTGGCGCTGGTGCTCTTAATCACCATCTTCAACAGAACTCCGCACAGACTCGCTATTCGAGCTTGGCGAGTAAGCCCCTTCAAGTCTTCAGCCCATGATCGAGAGTTCGGTCCCCGCTGGGTCATAGCTATAATATAGAAATTAACGCTGTGGTGTCCTCTTACTCCGTCTTCAACATGTGCAACGACCACAAAAGATTTGCCAAAGCAAGACATGACTGAGACACGCCCGTCGGTTGCGAAGGCTCTCCGCATCAATGTGTACCGCCTGCGAGTGGCTTTTGCGGAGTTCAGGCACGGCATTCTGGGTTTCACGTGTAGTGACTGCCTAAGCGATTCGAACGTGGAGGGCTTCGTGCCAGGAAGCTCGGTATTTACTCGAGGTGATACTCCACGTCTGACTATCGGCCTGCACTTCAAGTACTGAACCAACGAAGCCGTAGTCTCTCTGACGCATTCGATACTTCGAATGCCCCAAGTAGCTGTTGAAGCAATCAATCGCATTGCCGCAAGCTGAAAGCCAGATTCTACCAAGTTCTGAAATGTCGAAGCTGCCGATTCTCCTGGACCATCCCACCAACCCCAAATCGTCCCAAGCTAGAAGACTCTAAAGGTGGACGTGAAAGCAGCAGCTTGCCTCGATAACGGAGAAGTGTGTCGGCTTCCTTGCGAGGACTACGAAGCTGAAGATGTTTGGACTCTGACGAGGATAATGACTGGCATGTTGC